CAGACTCCAACCTTTAGCAAAGGATTTGCATTTCTAGAAGCTACCAGCATCTGCCATACAGCAGGCACTAAAAATGTTTGTTGTATGACATTCTCATCTGGTGGTTTTTAAGGTGTGGCCCTCAGACTAGGAGAATCAACATGATCTGGGCATGTGTTAGAACTGCCAATTCTCCGGTCCCTGTTAAGACCTACTGAATCAGAAACTCTGGAGGCAAGGGAAGCAATGTGCTAAGAAGCTGTCTAGTTGCTTGATAAACAATAGAGGTTATGAGCTACAGTTCTAATATAACCAAGCAGTGTTTTTTTGTTTTGTTTTTTGCCCTTTAACTATGAAGACACTGTTACCTTGTCTGTTTTATCACTCAAACTTCAAAATGCTTTCCTGACACTATCAATCTATCTAGCTCTGAAAATCCCAATTCTTCCCCTAAAGTGATCTCACTGCTGTTGTGCATACTCCTCCTCTTGACCTCTTCCCCAAGTCCCACACCACACCATCTACCTTGACACTATCTATATACACTGTCCTCAGTGATCAAAAACAGTTATCTTCTCCCTGATAGATCAGATGCTCCTTACAGCCACGAATGTATTTATCTCGTCTACTCCTTGATCGAAACACATATCTGAAATTTTAAGAGTTGCTGGTTAATGTCTTCACACAAAGGAGACTGGCAATTAAAAAAAAAAAAAAAAGGTTCTGGGAATGATTTCCAAGGCCTCACGCATAATAGTCATGTTTCCCATGACTGAGCTACCCCTCAGCCCTGACAAACCCTTAGTGAATAAAAAGTCTGGAATATCAAGCTGTAGCCTCACCTCTATAACCTTCAGATTCAGTTCTCAGGACACTGTCTACCAAAGTGACAAGGTAAGACCAATGCTTGCTTTCTGGTTGAATATAATTTTATGGTATTTTCCAAACTAGGTGTGGTGGCACATGCCAGCACTTAGATAGAAACAGGAGGATCAGAAGTTAAGGCCAGGCTGGGATACAAGAGACCCTATCTCAAAAAAATGAACAATTCCCACATCAGACTGTCATCTTATTATATTGTCTTATTGCTTTGTTTATAACCTAATGTGGCAGTTTTTAAGTATGTCACAGTTAAATAGTGTTCCCTAGTCAGCTAGTAAACTGCTTGAGAAGGAATCATGTTTTATTCAATTCTGAATCTTCCACAATACCCATTACCATACCTTATACACAACAATAACTCACTGTAGTATCAGGAAATGATTTCAAAACTTTCAGTGGGTAAAGACGCTTGCCTAGCATCCTGACTTCAATCCCTGGAACCCATATAAAGGTGACTGGATAGAACTGACTGTCCAAAATTGTCTTCTGACCCCCACATGCATGACATGGGGGCACAAGTGATCAAATACATGCATAGACACAGGCACAAATAGACAAATCTAAAAACAAAACCAACCAAACAAAAGCTTCACTTATGAAGAAAACCTATGTGCATACATCTCCTGTCTCCAAAAGGGCCTTGTGAATATTATTAATTTTTATTATAAATAACGTGTTTATATACAATAAAAACTACACCCACTCTGCTGTCACCTAGGGTAATAAGTCACACAAAGCAAAAGAATGAAAAGACTGCATCTCACATGAACTTGAGTACAGACTAAAATGTCCTAAGCCTCAGGCACTCCTACTGCCACATAAAAATAAAAACTCCCCTGAAGGCTAAAGAAGCCTATACCAACTCCACTGTTGGGGAGACTTCTAGATGAAAAACCATTATCTGCAAACTTCCAAAAACAAAAGGGTAGACTAAGGATGAGTGGGGATAGTCAGAAGATAAATCTGACGGGACGGCAAAGAGAAATTGAAGAACAGGAGGACTAGCAGAAGGGACAGCAAGAGAGTATCACCCTTTGAGTAAAAACAAGGAACAGTGGGAGTTCAGTATTTACCAAAGCTCTGCCAGGAGCCTGGCATCTAGGGGTGCAAAGATGCTGCCTGACCTGGAGGGGATAGCAGTCCTGAAGTAAGACACAGGTCTGCAGCCTGCTTTGCTGTATGTTACCTAATTCTAGTTGGAAAGCAGGGAGGGCTTTACAAGAAAGGTGAACATTTTGTGGAGTCTTTGAAGTGTGGAGGAGGATTTGCTAAGGAAGGAAAAGGCAGTTTGCGCTAGTTATTTTGAGGGCAAAAATCAACACATTTTTATAGCTGTTCATTTGGGACTGAAATCAAAGGAGGTGTCTGAAAGTCTGCATCACCCGTGTCAACGCTTTCTCTTTTTATCTTAAAGCCTGAAAACGTTCAAGAACGGCTCTGGAGCAGCGCCAGAAAGTCCCAAAAGGAGGTGAATACTGGCTAAATCTGCTCTGTCACCTCCTCAAGTCCAGGCAGCCCAACTAGCCTAGTCCTGGCATCTAGAAAAGAAAGGCTAATTATACCTGGGGCGCAGAGGGTGGGGACTGGAGGGGTGGATTCAGGCAAAGCTTATGTTCTGTCAGGGAGCCACCATGGGAGAGCCTCCCTGCTTAAGCCATAAGGCTCTAAGTCTACCTGTGACAGGGAGGAGAGCTTCTGCAGGGGGGGGGGGGGGTGGGGGAAGCTTCAAGGAAAAGAAGGGGGGAAGTATTGGATGGGAAAGCAGCGAGGTACAAAGGTGAACCGATCTTAATAAATCGCTTAGCGAGATACTGGAGAGAGCCAGCTCATATTAACATCGCAATTGTCATCACAACAGCACTTCCACCGTACTGACAATAAGGTAATTCTATTCGTTGCCCACTTTTACGACGTCTAAAAGCAACTCTAGAAATAACAAGTGTATTTCCCCCCCAAATTTAAAGATACGAAATCAAATTCCTCCAGCTCTGGCAGTGAAAGCCCCAAAGCCCGAGTTAAGAGAGCTGGCTGTGTCACTTGTCAGTTCCGTGACCTTGGACGCGGCATTACTCCTCCCAGAGCCTCAGTTTCCTTGACTACACAGTGGGCTTTAGGCAAGCCGGGGTCGTGGAGTCCAGGAGAGAGGGAGACCTCTGTGGCTTTGGGACTGAACCCACCCAAGGCGAGTCAAGGCCACTGTCAAAACTCTCCGGGCTGTGAGGGGCAGCGGGGTAGATGGATGCTCACACCTGGGAGCGCCGAGCTGCGCCGTGGGAGCCGGGAGCCGGTGACGCCCTCAGAGGGTCCCTGCGCTACAGAGTGCAGGCCTCCTGAACGAGGCTCGACCCCAGCAGGGCACACGCTGCCCGCCGCGCGCTGGGTGCGGGCAGGGGCGCGGGAGGCCGGGCGGAACGCGCAAGGCGCCGGGGGTTCGGAGGAGGCCGACCGCGAGGACCCGGGGCCCGCCGTGTGGCCACCGGCCCGCAGAACCAGGGAGCCACACCGGGGTGCACCGCGCCACGCGCCCTCCGGCCGCTGTGGCGGAGGCACTCACTCACCTGAAGCAATAGCGCGGGCCGTCAGTCAACAGCAGCTGCAGCAGCAACGAGGGGCGGGGGAGGCGCTGCGCTGCACACGCGCATTAACTATGCCGGGGTTCACGCATGCGCGACATACTCGCTTGCCCTAGGAACTACAGAAAAGATGGTGGCCAGGCTTGGAGATTCCAGCAGCTCCATCTTGACTGTAGTTTTTCTCCTAGCCGTGTCTCAGAGGCTATGGCTCAGAACTGCCCTGAGGTGATGTGAAATGTTCACACTCCACACCGCCTACCCATTGCTCTTGGTTAAATTTAGTAAGTCTTAAGGGCCATGACATACTTGTTTCGACAAGGTTTAGAGCTACACGCAAGATCATCTGGCACTGGCTAGAATTTCGAGTCTCAAAGAGTTCTACTCCTAGCATTCTTAACAAATGGCAGCCATATTTGCTTTCTTGAAGATGAGAGATGGTTACTCTACAAGAAGTGACTGTACATATTAAATTAATGATTCAATTTAAAACTTTCATTGTTAATCATGTGTGTACGGTGATGTGCATGAATGTAGCAAGTTTCCCCTAGGGCTAGAATTACAGAATGTGAGCCACCAAATATGGGGACTTGGACACGAACTCCATCCTCTGAAAGAACAGTAAGCACTCTTAGCCACCAAGCCATTTCTCCAGACCAGAATAAAAATGTATGTGTAGCCCGTATGGCCTGGCCATTTTTATGCCAACCTGACATGAAGTGGAGTCGTTTGGGAAGAGAGGATCTCAGATGAGGAAACAGCCCTACCTACTTGGCCTATGCAGTGCATTTTCTTGACTGATGAGGGCCCAGCTTATGGTGGGCAGGTGGTACTGCATAGTGTAACACAGCAGGCTGAGCAAGCCATAAAAGAGCAAGCTGGTAGACAGCATTTCTCAACCTGAGTCACATATCAGATATTTACATTATGATTCACAACAGTAGCAAAATTAGTTATGAAATAGCAACAAAATAATGATATGGTTGGGGGGGTCACCACAACACAAGGAACTGTATTAAAGGGTCTCCAGGTTCCTGCCATCTTCTCTTAGCGATGAACTGTTACCTAGACATGTAAGATAAAACAAACTCCTTACCCAAGTTGATTTTAGCCATGGTGTTTTATCACAGTAATAGAAACTCCAGCATACCATACTAGCCTAGAACTTGCTATGCACCCAATGTACAGGACTTGTTTTTTTGACACAGGGTTTCTCTGAATTGCCTTGGAGCCTGTCCTGGAACTAGCTCTGTAGATCATGCTGGCCTTGAACTCAGAGATTCACCTGCCTCTGTCTCCTGTGTACTGGGACTAAAGGCATGCACCACCAATGCCCGGCAAAACCCATTAAAGATCATTACTTTTGGAGAAAGAGAACAAATACAGCCAAACTTTTTTTTTTTTTTTTTTTTTTTTTTGAGCCAGGGTCTCTCCATGTAGTTCTGGCTGTCCTGGAACTCACTATGTAAACCAGGTTGGCCCCAAACTCAGAAATCCTCATTGTTATTAATCAGGAATTCCTGATTTTGGGAATTCCTATTCCCAAAACAATCTGAATGAAGGAAAAACTAATATTGACACCCTTTTATTATATGATTTTATTATATGAACTGGTGTATGTATCCTTGGCTAAATTAGTAAACATTTCCAATGTTCTATGAATGACAAGAAACAAAAAAAGTATCTCTCATAAAGCTGTGGTAAGCACTAGTGATGCTTAGAGCTCAGTAAGTATTGTTGAGGCAGGGTCTAATGTGATCCACTGGCCTAGAATCTGTTACACACCTGATTCTCTTACTTGTTTCTTGAGTGCTGAGATCTAAGTTTTTAGTGCTTTTTTTTTTTTTTAATGTTCTAGCCCTTTTATGTGGTTGAAGACACCCAACATATTTCCTATCTTCAAGTCTGAACACTTACAAATGTGATAGAATGTAATAAAATGGAGGAAGGCATAATCATCTTTGAATATAAATAATTTTTCCTTTTGACAAAGCAAACAAATGAGATTAAGATATGCCCCAAAGTTTATGCTCTTTGTTCTACTTCTCTGCTTTTGAAACAATAATCAATAATACCATCTTTGACTCTTAAATACTGACTTTCTTGCAGGCTGTTTGAAATGTCCTTTCTTGTTCTACTTTGGACAATACAACCCTCAATCTTCAATAACTAGGAATAACTTTTAAATTTTATTTCTAATCCAGACTTTACTACACAGGTCTCCATCTGCATATGTAACAGCAGTCTGCTTGAATTCTCCATATGGTATTCCAAATTAGACATTAGCTTTCCAGTCTACTCATTTTTTAAGTCTTCAGCAAAATAAACTGATAATATGATTGTTAGCTTTTACTATCTAAAATTCTCACAGTGCCCTTAAAACACAGATTCTAACATTCTTCCAATGTTCTAGATAAGAGGTTAAGTAACTATTCCTCAGTCACAGGAAATGACAACACAAAGTTTTTAACCATAGCTTACAGGGCTATTATGTCCTAGGCACCATTCAGTAACTACAACAATTTTAAAAAAGTAAAATATGGACTGGAGAAATGGCTCAGAGGTTAAGACCACTAACTTCTTCCAGAGGTCCCGAGTTCAATTCCCAGCAACCATATGGTAGCTTACAACCATCTGTAATGAAATCTGGTGCCCTTTTCTGGCATGCAAGCATACATTCAGACAGAACACTGTATATATAAAAAATAATTTTTTTTTTAAGTAAAATATGGAGACTAAAGATGAAATTCAGTGAGAATGCTTGCTTAGCACATGCAAAGCCCTGAGGGTGAATTCTTAAGGGAAACTTCCAGAGGAAAAAAAATTAAATCATCTCAGCCCTTTTCTTTTTACAATAATTTAGACTGCAGAAGGTCAATTCAATATTAAAAACTGAAGCACAGTACAGACATTAGGACACTTTAGAAAATGGGCATTTTGTGAAGTGATCCAGTATACCCATTATGCAACAACGTTCCACACTACACCTTTAGTGCTACACCTGAAAACTTTAGCTTCATTCCTTTATGACAAAAACCCAACTTGGCCCAGAAAACATTTCATTAAGGTTGGTTCTAAATGTCTTTGGGCTGTTTTAAAACTTAACAATATCTTCATGGGATGAAAAGTGCTGGCCATGAGGACATTTAAAGCAATGGGTTATTGGTTCTGAAGGTCATTTCAAGCATCTTGCACATTCCTACAGAAATGTCTTTAACAACATCCTTCTGGATGCATACATGCTGTCACTCAAACAGTGAAAGTGCTCTGCAGTTGGAACTGTCCAACTTTGGGGAAACTGTGGTGAGGCTGCCATTTGTGGAGGCACTCTTCCCTGTCCTCTCCCTGGCAGCTCACAGCAGAAACTACAATGACGAGATCCTCATCACTGTATGGTAGATGACTTCTGCAGGTGGAGTTTGAGCAGTTTTCGAGCAGGTGAAGTATCTAATTGCTCCATGCTTCTCTTCTCTGCAGAGGAAAGGAGCCAAAAAGCACATTTCAGTTATTGGAAACTACATGTGGACACTGCCAAACAGTGAAGGGCAGTAAATGACACATAAAAAAATCTTTGTTCTCAGGGAGACAGCAGTCTAGCAGGAAAGCCAGTTTGGTGCAATAAATAAGAAAATGCACAGAGGAAGCCAGGAAAAACTATGGGAAAGCACCTGCAGTTTTATTTCATGCAGTTCTGAAAATTGAAGCACTCAGAAAGCAGTGGGCATCTTCATGGAGTGCTTGTATGGAATTTACACCAAGCATTTCTATTGACATTCAACTCACATGAGGAGTGCAAGTCATATGGTTTAAGTCTGAGGACCTTCTCCCTTGAGAGGCAGCTTATATCCCAAAGGGAACATGAACTACCCAGAGCTTGGGTCCCTTCAAGTGATGCACTTACTGAGCTGTACTGACACCTGCTGGAGGTACTGAGTACTTTCATCCATGAAGGCTTGCAGCTGCTTCACTGATCCTTGCAGCTCATCCATCTGAGGACAGAAAGGTCATTATGAGCTGCAGGACTTTCACTGTCTCCCCATACTGCCAGGAAAGCTCCTGCTTTGGAGCTTTAGGCTTGCTCTTTCTGCCTGGAATGCTTATGCCAGACATTCTCTCTCGGAACCCACTGAACCAGAGACCACATTTCTCTAGCCAGCTCCATGTCCTAAGAGATTGATCCTCAAACCTCTGCCAACAAGATGGCAAGTCCTCTAGGTTTTGTTTGAACATAACAATAAAGGAGCTAATAGCCACTGTATGTACAATAGCAGTCACTGTTCCTCCTGGATTCTTTAGTCCCTTTACTTTGTTTTACTAGCACTTAACATTATATATTTACTTACAATTTTTTCCCATTTTCCCAAGGCAGAGAGGTTGATATCCTTGTTACACATCCAAAGATTTATGCCTTAACTTGCTTTTGGAGTGTCTTCCTGGGGCTGACACTTTAAAAGGCTTGAAGTAGTTTAAGTGTCTAGGAACATGAAGTGGCTATTAGGACCTGACCCTTTCTCTCTCCCCTCTCCTCTTGTTACCCATCATCATAAGGGGAGTAGTCTCCTCTGTCACATATTCCCAGCACAATCTATTGCATGGTGGCAGTTCAAACCAACAGGGTTTAAACAACCATGGACTGAAATTAGCAGCCATTCCTCCTTATAAGTCACTTCAGGTATTCTGTCATAACGTCATAATGCTGAAAGAGATGGTAAGTCTAGAAAGCTGGGTAATCCATGTAATAAGCCTGAAACACTGACCACTAACTCCATGCAGGCAAAGACTCGGTTCTGATTCCGTATGATTTCCTGGTAGTTGGGCTTTGTGTTAAGGACTTCCTTCTGGGAAGACCCAAGGTAAGTTGTAGGATCCACTTTGACTTCAGTGATTTTAGTTTCAGTTGATCCTCTATAAACAACAACAACAAAAATAAGGAATTTTCCTGGCATTTACAATCATTTTCAGGAGATAATATACAAGAGTTCCTATGAGAGGAAAACTGCTTCAAAAATCATGTTCCTCAAGTCTCTTTACATCACTTCTATAATTAGGGTTTCACCTAACATTCTATAGTTGGCTTTGTAGGGGCCAAAGGATTTCAAATACCAGCTGGGAGATTGTGGTGCTGCACACTTACAATCCCAGCAATTGAGAAGCTGAGACAGGAGGATTGTGAATCTGAGGTACACCTGGGGATCTGAGGCCAGCCTTGGCTGCCTAGAGACCATATTTTAAATTAATGAAACCAGTTCAGATATTGAAGTAAACCAAAATCTAGTGCTTTCGCACCTTCCTCTAACTTGTGTTTTCACCAAGGCCTTAACCAAGGCACTCTCTCCTATCTACAGCTCAAAGGTCATGTGCTCCCTAAAGTCTCTTGGGGACTGATGTTGGCCCAGTGCCAGGTGAACAGGTGCAAGGGAAGCTATGTGCCCATGTCCCTGGGGACTGTGAATGGTAGCCAATTACACAACACAGAAACAATTCTGTTCTGGGACTAAAAATAGTGAGTCTTCCATTTTTGTCTCTCCCTTTCCACCAAAGAAAACAAATAGATACTTTAAAGTTGACTAGAACAGATTCATCACTATTTGTATAAATGGATTTGAAATAAACTCAAATCAAACTCCACAAAGCAAAAAGAGAACAAGGCTGCTCCATCACAGTTCTCGGGTCTAACCTGGGCATTTCTTCGGGTGGAACCTCCTTCTGGTACTGTTGTAAGAGCTGATCCCAAGTCTGACGCTCTAAAGAAAATCTGTGGAATTTGGGAAGGGAAATTCAGTTAACTTGGTCATATTTTTAATTACTCAGGGCAACAATAAGTACTTTAGACATGTAATCTGGTTACAAAATGCATTAAAAGGTCATTAAAGGATTAGAAAGCTCAACTGATTCAGAGGATATTAATTTAATCAAGTAATAAACAAACTGTTAAAATCAAATTAGCACCGTTATTCCTTGACTGCACCCTGTCTATCAGGGCTGTTCATATGCCTTGCAGCCCTAGAGCTGACATACAAGTGCCCCAGGCTTACTAGGCATTTTCTTCAGATTCAGTTATTTCCCTGATGGAAAAGAAAGTTCAGTTTTCCAAGAAAGGCTCACTCATTTTACTTACTTTGCTATGTATTTTTTCACCTCAGCCACTGATGTTTCAAGTGAAAAATCTGGTGCTTTTCTGGAATACAGATAATATTATGAGATTAATATGAATCCTTCAACAAATACTTGCTTTTAATGTCTTATATAATTATATATTCATAATGTTTTATTGTTCAGAAAATATTTTTACACTAGTAATGGCTAAATGGTTTTTTAATTTGTTTTTCTCATCAACTCCAATTCATACCATGGCGATTAACCTTTCTAAAATTAGTCCTTTACTTTCTCCTCCATGACTACTGCAAACAGAATAAAAGCCAAAACCCTTTAACTTCGTTCTTAAGGCTTTTTGTGTTCTGGCTCCTCTCAATTCAGCTCAATTAGATGATTATTTCTAATGGAAAATAAGCAGGCACTGAAAATGCCAAGGTATTGCAGATACACTTGGTTTTCCACCTGGCAAACACCGACTAGTAGTGGTGCAAATCCTGTTTTTCTACCAAGGCCTGTACACAGTATCTCTAGCAGAGATGCAGCAGCCCGTGCTTACATACACATTCAAAGAAGATTAGAAATGTCACTCTTCAGAACTTTTATAAGGGCAGACCATGCATGAATTACAAATTCAGACCAAATGCATAACCTGTGGCAGGGTGGAGTTGTGATGGCAGCTGCACCCTTAAAGGATTACCACTTTAGGGGTGATGTCTTTTTTTTTTCCCTCCAAGACAGTTTCCCTCAAACTCAGAGATCAGCCTGCCTCTGCCTCCTGAGAGCAGAATTAAAGATGTGTACCACCAGCACCTGGCTTGGAGTGATGTCCTTTTAACAATAAATTCTATTTATTATTATTATATTATTATTATTTCATTACTATTATTAGTGTGTTTGTGTGTGCATAGGCACATTGTAGGCGTGCATATGATAGAGTGTGTACAGGTCAGAAGACAACTTTCAACAATGGATTTGCATCCTTCCAAGGGAAGTGTGGATAGAAATGAGCTCCACGTATGCAGTAAGAGCTCTTACATTTATTCACTGAGCCATCCTGCCAGCCCATTCTGATAATATTCTTGCTTGCAGATAGCATCAGAACAAGAGCTGCCTTCTGCACGACAAAGATCTGAGGAATGGACTTCTCAATCTTTCCACAGTGGTTACTTCTCACTACTCAGGTCTTTTTTGTTCCAGCCCCAAAATGAAATCATTAGGGATCTGCTCTCAAAACTCTAGCAATGTTCCCACTCCCAATGTCACTGTCCTACTTGCTGGCTTCCTGGTTTGTCACTAAGAATGAATTTTGTCTGCATTATCTCCATTACTACAAACATGACAAGAAGGACTTAACCCATTGATCACTATACTCCCTTTCTCATAATCTAGAAGAGCCTGGTACAAGCCAAGGACAGCAGCTCACACCTGTAATCCCAGCACGTGGAAGGTAGAGGTAAAAGGATTGCCAAAAGATTGAGTCCAGTCTGGACTACAAAGAGCCTATCTCAAGAAAGCAAAAATAAATAGTTAAAGAATATGGTGGTACAGAGGTGCTGGATAAATGTTTATTGTGTAAGTAATGGTTTAATTATAATCAAGTTTTAGCTCAGCTATAATTAAGGACAGAAGGGGAATTGCTCTTACTCTTTTGAATCTTCAACAAAACATTTTTGTAGAGTTCCATCACTTTCCAGCCTGTCTGTAAAATGTTTCAATTCTTCAGAGAGAGAAGATACTAGAAAGGATAAATTATGTTAGAAAATAAAAAGTGCAAATGTTCACAATGAGCACATGACAAAGATACTAAGGAATTCCTAAGTCCAGGGTCCCATATCCCATTCCGGCCTTCTCATTCATACAAAACAGCCATGTAAATATGCAAATGCAAACATTTTATCTTTGGGATTTGAAATTTAGCTTCACAGTAGAGAACTTGCCTAGGAAGTTCAAGGTCCTGGGATGGCTGTGGGATCTGGCTGAGAATGGACCCCATAAGCCCATGTTTAAATACTTGGTCCCCAGTTGGTGTTACAGTTTGAGAATGATTAGGAGATGTGGCCTTGTTGGAGGAAGTGTGTCACAGGGGATGGTGGGCTTTGAGATTTCAAAAGACTTTCGCTATTCCCAGTGTGTTCTTTGCCATCTACTAGCAGAATGAGATGTGAGCTCCTAGATGTTCCTGTTGCTGTTCTTTGCTCTGCCATCACCGGCTGTAGTTCTCTGAAACTGTAAGCCCAATTAAATACTTTCTTTTATAAGTTGCCTTGGTTGTGATGCTTAATCACAGTAAGAGAACAGTAACTAATATGGAGGGCAACAAAAAATATAAAAACAAAAATTTTATCTCTTTATTGGATAGACAACTAAATGGAAGGCAACTTTGTGTTTTTATACTTATGAATAAGCAGTTAACATAGATAGCTATACAATTTCACTTTTTCCCAGAAATATGAATTGTTATCACTGAAGAAAAAGCATTATAGACATAATAAGAAGGAGCAATTTTTTATTTAAATTAGAAACAGTATTATTCTACATATTAGTCCCAGTTCCCTCTCCCTCCCATCCTCTGAGCATGCCCCCACAGATACCACATCCAATCCCTCTTCTGCTCCCCAGGGAGGATGAGGCCTTCCATGGGGGATCATCAAAGTCTGTCACATTATTTGGGGCAGGGCCTAGGCCCTCCCCCATATGTCTAGGTTGAGAGAATATCCCTATGGGGAATGGGCTGAAGGGGCAATTTTTAAAGATGTTAGGGAACCTGGTTTTAAGGAGGCAGCATCTTCTGTAAAAGGCCACTGAAAATGTACTGGCTGGCTCCAAAAGAGAGGTAGGTCAAGGCCAAAAATACTTGTCTGTGCTTAGCAACTCACCTTTTGCTCTGAAGCATTCAAGGCTGAAGTCCTTAGTGCTCTTTAGGAAAGGTTCAAGTTTCTCAACAGAGAACTAAATAAAGAAAAGCATTTTCATTACACCACCAAAGTCTCCCAAGCTTAGGGTAAATTTATGATGAAACTACACAGGGCCTAATTTTTCCACCCAACACTTTTCATATAAGTACATAGACAAGGAAAAATTCTCAATTGCTCTCACTCTGTTTTGACTTTAGTTTTTTGAAACTGGGTTGCTTTGTGTAGCCCAAGCTGTCCTGGAACTCGCTCTGTAGAACTCAGAGGTCCACCTCCAAGGCATACACTATCACACCTTGCTTACATTTTGATTTTTAACTCAGGGAAAACAACAGTCATTTAATTCTCACAAATTACTTGCTTCTCTAAACAGTTGTAAGCACCAGCGAGCCATAAACACAACTTAAAAAATGTAAAAAGGCCGGGCAGTAGTGGCACATACCTTCAATCCCAGTACTCAAGAGGCAAAGGCAGTCATATCTCTGTGAGTATGAGGCCAGGCTGGTCTACAGAGTGAGATCTAGGACAGCCAGGACAACAGAGAGAAACCCCATCTTGAAAAATCAACCAAACCAAACAAACCAACAACACAATAATCATATACTCCATACACTGGTCGGCTTCGTAGTCAGCCTTGAATGCCTACAGCAACAGATTTTGACCTCTACCCAATTTATTCTCATTACTTGCTGCCAATTAGTAAAAGATATTGCAAAATCTCTCAGCTGCACTGCTAGCAACAGTAAAGCTCAGCACAAAGACAGTACAGTTGCCCAAATGAGAACTGGCTTTTAAGTCAATCCCAACCATGGAAAAAAATCTTTTCCTCCGTTCATCACTGATATTGAGATCTCTTTGAAGTTGCGACAATAACACAACAGCAAATGAAAATACTGCTCAAGCCTGGGAATCTCACCTGGAAGCTGGAGAGCAGAAGAGCACCAAGCCGTTTGCTTTCTGCTAACTTCAAACTGATGGACCTGCTAAGATCTGGCATAAAATAGAACATGTAAGGAACATCACACTTACAGTTAGCAAGACAACAAAACAGGAAAATCTCCTCCCTCTCCATGTAACCCAGCTTAAGACAAGAAGCTGCCTTCTCTGAGTAAGGAGAGAATTTCCAGGCTAAACTTAGGAACAATGTTTATACTTTCATGTATCCAAATTTTCAAGTGTTATTCGAACCATTTTATGTATTACATTAAAATCTTATTCTGTTTAACAAACTGAATGAAAATATAATTTAACATTATTTTGTATGTCAATTAAAAACACACAAAGTAGATAGAAATAACACAGATGGCACTTTTGTTAACAGGCACTGCTTTGTGCTTTAATACATAGGCACATGAGCTGTAGAGGCTGCGGCTCAGTGGATAAACCCTTGCCTTAAATGTGCTTGGACCTGAATATTACCCTCAGTACTTAAAAAAAAGTTTTCTTACAAACAACATAAGCGCCACTTTACAAATGGAGAAACTCAATCAAGGAAGGGAAGGGAACTGTCTGAAGACAGGCTGAAGAAGCCATGCTTCAAACCCAAATATGCCAGTGAGATCTGTTTTCCTAGTAGTAGCCTGCTGCCTGCAGTGATCTAATATTAATAGCCAGCACCAGCTGAACACCTGCTGTCTAATAGACATTTTTCTTCGCTGCTATGCACATTTCATTAAAATTTTACAGCAAGTATCTTGTTTATTGATTTGGGCTTTTTGAAACATGGTCTTGTAATGTAGTAGTCCAGGCTGGTCTTAAATTCCTGGCAATCCTGCTGCATCAGACTCCCAAGTGCTGGGATTTCGGGCAAGAATGACCGTGTCTGGCATCAATTCTATTTTGGTAACAGATGGTAACCATGGTACACAGGCTGGTTAGACTCCTTGTGCTCAAGGTTATACAGCAAGCAATGAGGATGGACCGGGTGGGTGCTTTATGTAATGATGTCACTGACCCAAACAACTGTAAGCTGTAGGTACTCTTTTCTCAATTATGCCCATTTAAAAACAATTATCATACAGTAAAGGAAGTTGGCTTTAAGAATTCTTGTCCTTTGGCTTTAGCTGGCTATTTTAAAAGCATTCTTGTCTCTAAAATGATTCTGGCTGCTGTTAACCAGATTCTTTCTGACTCTAACCAAGGAAACCTGGCAAGCAGCCAGGAATAACCATCTTACTACACGGTTGAGTCTATGTTTTACAGAACAGGTGCTCTGGAGTGGGAATGAAGGTGGGGCTAGTCTTGGACAGCTATTCTCTTGGCACATCTAGGGAGCAAAGTGCAGTGGCACTATGGCACCAGTTTTCCAACCTGGCTGTTTTTACTCAGATCCCTTCCACACATTCAACCACCTTAAAGAAATCACAATAGCTTTAACACTCAAGGGTCTGCTAATTGCCAAGTATATATATGTTCTGTGGTTTTACTTCCCTCACTTTACTGAGGACTTAAGACAAGGGACATGAAGCTCAAGATCAAACTAGACTTTCTGCATTATATCCTGTACTTTGATGCTAGCAAATCAAATGACTGTAAATTTAGAAAAATATCAAATTATATCCAAATATGGAATCCCTTAGAACAATTTTATGTTTTGTTCTTTAGTGTTGTGGATTGAACCTAGGGCCTCAGGCACACTAAGTGTGTGCCCCATCACTGAACGACATTTCGATCCCCACTTAATACATTTCTAAGTGTATCTCCCTTCTGAGTCATTTTCAGTTATAAAGGCTAGAATCAGGCAGGTATTAACCCACTTGCTTTCTGTTCCACTTTAAGGTATAAGACATAGGAACTCAAATTCCTAGCATCCTAGAAAGGATGATGGTATTAAACAATTAGCAACCAGAATTTCTGTTCATGGCAGGTCATATATAAACAGCAATTAGCAATGAACACTTACTAGGTATGTGGCAGAGGGATGTATAAACAAGAATATGCCCACAGGATTATCTCCATTTTTACAGGTAAGGAAACTGAGGTTCAAGGAAGTGATGTGTTCAAAGCTGCACAGCTAAAATGTAGTTGAGTCGTGTCTATTCTGCTATACTTTCTGTCATTCATTACTCACTGCCTCTTATTTGGGCTGGAATTCCAGTTTTATGTACACAGCACCCCACCTGTGATGCCTGGGTGAAAGGGAGCCAAAGACTTCCGCCGGTTTATTTCTTTCATACTTGCTCGTCTCCAAGACTGCCTTCTGTCTTGATGACGGACAGACTGTTCTTGAGGGGACAAATGAAATGACCTCAACTGAAGTCTTTCCTGATGGTTGTCATTACAACTTTCCCCCTCTTCATGGTGGCTGCAGCCAAGGTGATTTTTTTCCTTTGCAATGCCTTGAGTCATCTCCACAGAGGCAGAGGAGCTAGGCAACACTTCCGTAGGGTTGAGACTTGATTGCAACTGATGATCCTGAGTCTTGGACATCATTGGTTCCTGTTCTAGCATTTGTTATAGAAAAGTCAAAATATAAAGTCAAAACCTACCACAAGTAAGTAGCTGAGGAAAGGGGTGACAACAGAAAATGTATGTCCCCAAAGATGACATACACCAGCAGTCTTGGCTTCCTGGGAGACTAGGCAGAAGGAAGGGAGGAGGGAAGCAAATCTATTTCCCCGGTGAAGGAAACAGAGAGGAAGTCTTTCTACAAACATACAATGTGCAATTCCAAATCCACCAAGAGCCAGAGAAGGATTCTGTGATAGTTCAGGAGGCAAGAGGCACTGATTTCACCGAAAAACTCACCTTCTGGTCTGGTCACAGAAGTCATCCTGGATGGAGAAATTCGAACAAAAGATGAGGTGATCCATTCTTCACAATCCAGCTCCACTCTCACAGGGGCTTTACAACCACATAATAGGTCCTGTGCTTGAATTGCCCTCACTTGCCTCCTCCAAGACTATCAGCAGGGGTCACTGACTGCTCTCATGCAGAACTTACTACTAATTTATCTTAGCTCCCAATCACTGTGATTCACTAGCCCCCTAATCCCATCGATGGTATTAGAATCTACTTTGTTTTCCAAACTAGAAAACAACCAAATAAAACAACCCCACATCATCTCTTCTTATTGCTTCCAGATCCTTCCATTCCTGGAAATTCTACGTTTTAATATCTCCACACATTTGTCCTTCTAACCATAAAACAGACTCATCCTTTTTAATGATTTGATGATGGCCACGAATCTTTTCTCTGTAGTACTGGTTCCAAAATATATTCATGTGTCTTGTCCTCCCAGACAGACTGCACCTCATTCCCAGTATCTGTCAAAGACAACTGACCCGAAGAGAGGCAGGGACACAGCCTATCTTGCATGTATCTCTCCTTCCCAAAAGACATCTGAATGTGGGGCGTGCTTGGTAAAGAAAAAAACGAATAAATGCTGAGGGACCATACTGAAAGAACGAAGGGTCCTTCAAGGATCTAAATCACCCCAATCCTTATGACAGATCACATAGGCTCAAGCTTGGATAATAGTCATTTAGGCGCTTATGAGCCTGTGCCAGTAAACGCCTTCTTACATCATTATATCCCATTTAATACGTTCCACAACTCAGAATACTATTACTCCATCAGGAGGACCAGGCTCCTTACGAGGCCGGCCTGGAACACAGGAGCAATGCGAGCCGAGCTGTGACCCCAGTCCCCAGCCACACTCTGGAGCGAGGGCCGCCGCTGTGTCGGGAGAGAGGAATGGCCTGCCCTCGGTTGTCCTCTCTCTAGGAAGTCTGAGGCCCTGCGGCCGGGAGCGCCGGGCCGAGAGGCGGGTCAGGGGAGAGCGAGCCATATCCGGGAAGACGACTGCGACTTCCGACCCCAGAGCGACGCCCGTCCAGTCCCCCCACCCCACCCCCACCCGTTCCTGAACCACAAAGCCCAAGGTCACCTCCGAAAACTCGGCGTCACCGCAGAGGACTCTCTACCGCGTTAGTACGGTTCGCGGTCCCGCGTAGCCGCCGCTACTTCCGAAATTCCCGCCAAACAACTGCGCGTGCGCAGCCAGCGGCTTCTGCGCCCGAGCGCCAGACCGTGCCTCCCGCAAAGCGCATGCGTACTCCGGTGTTCCACGCTCTGGCCCAGCCCATCCTTGACCTAATTTTTCTGTCCAGTTACAGTGACTACCTCTCAAGCCACACCCAGTCGGGGGTATTGCCTTTTCCTACGTATGACTTGACTGACTTTTGCTGCCATACAGCCTACCTAGGGAAGTCAGGCAATCTGGTGCTGTAATCCTGTTCTGGGCCATGGCTGCCTCTCTTTTACTCCAAAAATGTGGAGTGAACTCCAAAACTGTCTCAAGGGTCAACTGGGACTCTGAGCTCACTTTGTCCCCTGCCTATTTACTCCTGCACCACAGGCCCCTCCCATGGCCCCTTAAGTACACAGCGAAATTCGAGGACATCCCTTCCCGGCCTCATCACGGGCAACCCTGCTGCTGCCATCCCTTGCCAATTCTTGCTCTGCCCCTTTTGCGAGCATGCTCTTCCCCTTCCAGCCTTCTCTTCCATGCTGAAGGAACCCAACCCATGCCTGCTTCACCCTCCTTTGCCTGGGAGGGTCCACAAAGCAAGCTGCTTCCTTGGGACAAGGTACTGAACCACCAGAATGGCACCTCGTACATCAATGAAGTTCTTTCTTTCAGATCTGAATCTTGTGAATGCTGAATTGAGAGCAGATTCCAAAGGGCCAAGTGTAGTGGCCCTTTAATCCCAGTACTGGGAAGGCAGAGGGAGGCACATCTCTGAGTTTGAGGCCAGCCAGAGTGAGACTGTCTCAAACAAAAGCAAACCAAACCAAATCAAAAAGGTCCCCAAAGAGTGGGAGATGGATGAACATTCTTCCATTGTAATTGTGGTCCCTTGAAAGTTTTCTGGTAAAAGGTAGGCATATATATTACAAAAATTTCCACTCTGCCACTCTGGCTTAGTTGTTTCAACTGCTGTTGTAAAGAGGTGTGTTCTTAGGTCCCTGAATATCACTTTCTGGAGCTCAGTTCCTTTATCCGAGCCTCCATCCTTAAGCACCTCATGTGTTCATGTCCCAGCCAAGGGTGGGCACATTGGGACACAGAGATTACTGTCTCGTGCAATCCAATCCCAGTCAACATCCAACCATGCCTTTTCCTTGCTTTTCACACGACTCCCTCTTTACAAGGTGCATACAAATTCTTTCCCTGTTTCACACCCAACATTCATTTTTTGAGTTCATATCTCCTCCCTGGTTATTTTGAAACAGGTTCTCACGTAGCCCAGGCTGGCCTTGAACTCAATATATAGCCAAGGATGACACTGTAACTTCTGATCCTCTTGCCTCTCCCTCCCAATTATTGGGATTACCGATGTTGCCACCATGCCTGTCTCTGCCCCCTTTTCCTAGGCTTTTCAGGCATGCTCTTTCTCTCTCTGGACCATCTCCTCCTACCTACAGTCCATTACCATTCACTTTGCTCAACATGCCAACTGTGAGTGTGCTCCCCAGGGGCTTCCTACTTCTGTGACTGATGATTGGTATCTTATTTATCAGACCCATCTGTTGGGAGCCGGGCTGTCCAATGGGTCTCCAGATGAGGCAAAGCCCACAGGGACAGTCTCTTGGCAGGGACCAGTGGACTCCAGGAGAGTGCAGAATACTGCCAGGACCACATGGCCTGCACGCCCTCTCTTCCTCTCATAATATTGATGATTCTCTTGGCAGTTTTTAGTGTCACTTTAGTGTCAGCCACACATGAGACAGATGTGACCATTCCTGGAAACCCCATTTTTTTTTCTCAAATATTTCCCCCTAAAATTCTTTGGGAGCTGATGCTTCTCAGGTTTCTTCTTGAGAGATGCCAGCTGCCACCCCATCCCCTGAGAGATGCTCTGATTCAGTGCTGACAGGATAGGAGGCAGATTGCCACTATTTCTGTAAATGTGCTTTGTTAAGTTTTGAACAATATTGTTGCTCTCAAAAATGTGTGCCTATGTTTAGTACCTTTTAGTTTTGTAAAGACAGGATGTACCTGGCTCACTATTTGGCCAAGCTGGCAAATGTTAAGTGTTGTTTGGGTTTAAAAGAATTCTTGACAGAGTACAAGCTGATCCTACATTCAAAACAGCTGGACAAAACAGCCCTACAGACTACAGCTAGGATATCTGAATCTTCTTCGAATCCCCCAAGACAGCGCCCCTTACCAGCAGGAAGTAGTTTGGAAAGAACGACGCCCAAATTCCCAAATATTGTGTATAAATGTTTGTTTTCATTTAATTGGACTTTGTTATATAAAATTAAATAAAAAAAGGGGGGGGGAAAGGAAAAAAGAATTCTTGACAAAACAAACAAACAAAAAGATGTTTTGATGTAAAAGTTGGGAAAATATTTGACATTTATTTTTGCTGGAGGTTAATGTCAGAGGGTAGGGAAAAAAACATTTGTCAGTATGGGAAAAAACCATGTCTATTTTTGAAGTATAAGTAAAGGCAACTTGGGATATTCAGGACCAGCCACTTGTGTGAAACTCATCTGGTGGTTGAACAATTCATTTCTTTGCACCAACACCCCTTCCCTGTCTCAGGACCTGAACCCAGGCTGCAGGGGGACTGCAGGACCCATCTATTGTATCCTCCATGCCTGGCGCAGGCCTGGCTGTTGTTAGACCCCCATAAAAGAGAAGATCTATAAAAGTAGGTGTTAGTTCTCAGGCTGTCCAAATACCCAGAAATGCAATATAGGAAGATTTCTGGCAGTTAAATAAAAACCAGCATTACTTGCAAACTTGTAAAACTGGTTCCCATCTACCTGTAGCACCTATCAGCATAGCACAGCCCATGCAGCCACCCAGAGGCCCTCACCACATGCCAGAGTCCACACTAGCTGGCCCTCCTCACTTCTCCCCCACCCTAAAGTCCCTCCACTATTCTCTATTCCTGCACTTACTCTCTTTATCTCTTATTTGCATTTAATTCTCTGTCTCTCTCTCTTTCCCTCCCTCCCTCCTCTAATCTCCATCTCTTGCTACCCAGATAGCTCCACTATTCTCTCCCATTTCCCTAGCCCTGGCCATGTCCAGTCTTCTTCTTTCTCTCTCTGTTCTGGACTCTCCCAGATGCCTCTGGCTGTTCTGACTTATATCTACAATAAAAATCTTACCCATAGCATGGAGCAGTCATGTTGGCAGTTTCTTTACTGTGCCCCCTTAAATATAGTAGACAGGTTCCAAGATGGCCCCAATGACTCTTTTCCTGGTGTGTAGTCTCTTCCTACAGTGAAAAGTGTCTGTACAGTTCCCCCGCTGAAAAACAAGTTAGTTTATGTAACCAATAAAATACCTTAGAAATGTATCTTTAAAGGCTTAGTCATAAAAGACTGTGATGTCTGTGCTGCTCTCTCAAAGATCACTTGCCCCAGGAAAGCTAGTGGCCACACTGCAAGGATACACAAGCTTTCCTTCATGTTGAGGAACTGAATCTCTTTCTTGACAGCCAGCACTGGCTTCCCAGGTTTGTGAATTAGCCACTTTGTAAAGGGATCTTCCAGCTCTAGTCAGAAATTCAGGTAATACAGGCTGCCTAGGCTTATAACTCTCTGGTGGAAATTTCGCCTAAAATACATGAGACAGACCCTAGGTTCCATCTCCAAACACACAAAGGTGCATATTCTTATAGTCTAGTTGGTATCTGACTGCAAGCCTCCAGAAACCATGAAATAGAACTACCCAGCTCCCAAATTCACAGCCCACAATGTTGGAAGAATATGATACATTTGGGATGATTAATTCCACTGTAATATTTACTGGTGTCTCCCCCCCCCCCATAACAAATTACTGTGTGAAAGAAAAGCCTTCTTGAGTGTTTTGCATTTGTTACTCAGTAGTGGTGGCACACTTCCTGGGAGACACTGATGTTACCAGCTAGGAGCCACCAGAACCCCCAGTGGCCCCATCTAGGTGATTCCAAACCAGCCAGCTGGCTTCAGTTTCCCTCTTAAGCAATCCCAGGTGGGACGGAGTCCATTTTCAAATCTGCTGGGGCCCCACCAGCCTCTCCAGGGAAAAGCAGAGAGCGGAAAGCAGGCAACTGTTTATATGACATACTTTATTTCCAATCTACAACCATTAAAAACACTTTATAAGTTTACACTGTACAGTTCTCATGTCTGAAATAAGACACAGGGCGAGGAGAGCTGGTGGACTAGACGGCTGTCCTCCTGATACCAACCCATCCCAGGAAGGAGCCATTAAAGACAGAATGACAGAAGTGGGTAGTGATAGGGAGGGGGGGGGAGGACAGTGGAAGGGAAGCTGGATAGTTGGCCCAAAGATGCCCTTGGTCCCTTCCCTCCTGAGGGGTCCCTCAGGGCCCACGACTGCAGGACCCTACCCAGGAAACAGGGCTGAGCAAGAAGGGATTTCACAGTAGTGGCCAGGTGGGGAAGGGGAGGCAGGATAGGGAGGAAAGGAGTTTCTAGCTCTTTCCCAGGCGCTGTGCTGGCATTTGGAACTGGCTTTGGCACTATCTCCTGGTTTCCCTGGGATTGGGAGGGTAAGGAGGTGCAGTGTGGAGTGCTGATGGGGAGGGGCTTGGATTTTCTTCTTGCAGCAGGTTCCTTCCCTCTGGCAATGGTGAGGACCCCGGTGGACAAAGGACACATTTTGCCTCCTGCCTCTCCTGGGGGACCCTCCCCCTTGTCTGTAGTGGCCACCTATGCAGATTTCCCCAAAACCCAAATTGGTGGGGGATGGTGAACTGGGAAATGAAATGGGGGGGATAGGAAAGCTGCAGGTCTGTCTCCCCCATCCCCAGTTCCAGCTTCCAAAGATAGGAGATGGAGATGCCACAGTGATGTTTTCTTGGGGGCAGAGGTCCTGAATCTACCAATCTGGTTGACTAGTTGTTTTCCATTGTTCTTGGCACAGGCCAGGCCCAATCTTTCCAATTGAACTGACAGCTCATCTAGGCCAACAATATTGTTGTTGCTGCCAAACTAGTCTACATCAGAGTGACCTGGAGGCTCTTTCAAACTCCGCCCCCCCACACACACTTGCTAGGCCTGCTTCAGGGGGTCTTGCGTGGAGCTAACAATCTGCACTCTGTCAACTTTCCTGGTGAGGCTTCTACTGCTGGGACAGAGTTTGAGAGACACTAGTCTTCAGTGGTGACCCCAGTTGCCTTGGCAACATGTAACTCCTAAGGCAAGCCATGCTGGCAAGGCCCGGCTGTAAAGGTACAAAAAGATGTAGACAGATGCTAGGGATGGTGCTGTGGTGAGTGAGCCCCTGTGCAAAGAAATTAAATAAGGCACAGAGATCAATGGCAGAGCCAAGAGTCGGGGGGGGGGGCAGGGCCCAAAGGGTCCGGTGGAGGCTGTAGGACCCCCAAACGCAAAGGATATTTGAAGCCCATAGGGCCATCCTGCTGCTCCTGGGAAGACCATAGAACTGTCACGATCAAACTTGGGGTAGGGTTCCAGACTGCTAGCTAAGGGTTCTCTTCACAGAAGTGGCATAGGTGACTTTGGATGTGGTCTGACAAGGAAGCCAGACTGTCTGCCTCAGAGGAAACCAAAGGCTCTTCCCTTAGGTCCAGGGGGCTAGTGAAGGGCAGGGCGGGGAGAACAGGGTCAGTGGGGTAGACAAAGGGAAGAGAAGGCTCCCGGGAGGATGAGGAGGAAAGTGGTCAGTTGGCAGAGGAGCCCTGAGCAGGAACTGTTGGCCAGCATCATGCCCTCGGTGCCCTTTAATGGGTATGTGGATTCGGCAACTGCAAAAGCTGTTGGTTCAGGAGGGTAAGGTTCTGCCAAGATGAGCTGATCTGGGGGAGGTGAAGGCTAAGGGAGAACAGACAGGATGGACAGAGACACAAACCCAAGAAAAAGAAGTCAAACTTCTGCTCTATACCAAGGCCACCAAGAGTGGGCAGGGCAGAGACGACCCAAAAGTGAGCACGGGGTCCATGTCCATCACACATCCTCCAGTGGAAGGTGATGTGGCTGTTATTAGAAGTAGGGCAGACAGGAGACAGAGACTGGGGCTTTTCTGGGCTGAGGTTGCTGGGATAGGACGAGTCTGAGGAGAAGGGTGTAAGAGATGGCGTTGCATGATTCATGGAACAAAGGGGACGCCTCCAGTGAGAAAAAAAAACAAAAAACAAAATAAGCACAAGATTGGATGATCCTAGATCTGAGAGCAGACCTTGAAATTATAAGACAAACTGGACATGGCACTTCCCTGATGGGGTGGGATGTGAGTTTCTAGGGACAGGGACGGGGTTGTCAAGATCAGATGAAAGTTCCTAAGAGGGAAGTGTGTATTGAGGACATAGGAGGGCTGAGAGCTGGTGCTACAGAAACCCCAGGGTCCCAGATAAGAAAAGCTGGTGGTAGGCTAGGACCACAGCATCTGGTGGTAGAAACCAGCTAAGGAGTGGTGGCAGGGAGAAGCGAAGCTGTGGATGATAAAGGAGGGGGTGGGTGTGAGGTGGAAGATGGGGGTTCAGCTGAGCCCCCAGAGCATGCTTCACACACTCTGCACAGAACCTTGTGAGAGTCAAGAGCCCTGGCATGTGCTGGTAGCTCCTCCCCTGCCTTGCTGGGAGGCCTTGGACAAGCCACTCCCTTCTCCATGTGTAAAACATGAACGGATGAGACAACAATGGATAATGTTGGATTCTGTCTACATGAATACCTAAAACAGACCAGTACAAAAAGGAAGAGAGAGCAGAGGTCATTCAGCCCTGGAGCAGGGAATTATTGTTTGGGGGGTCAGTTATTAATTATTATGATGGGATGCGATCTCAGTTTGGGACGCAAAAGTTCTGGAGAAGTAGTGGTGACACAATATTGTGAATGTACATAAAAGACTCTTAAGGTCGGGGTTGTGGCAAATGCCAGTGAAGAGACAGGAAGATGAGGGGTTCAAGTTCATCCTTGGTTACACAGTGAGTTGGAGGCCAACTGACGATACAGGAAACACCGTCTCAAAATAAATAACTTAAAAGCCTCTTAGACATTGAAGACATAGCTCAGTGGTAAAGTGCTTGTCTCACATGCCGAGTCTCAATTCCAGCATGTGGACATGTGTGTGCATGCATGCACGCGTGCGCTCACACACACACACACACACACACACACAGACAGTTGCCTAAAGGACTAAAGCAGCATTTTAAAATGTGAGCAGGTTGGCTGAGATTCCCATTTATTTTAAGGTCAACAAGAGAAGACAGTACACAGTATCACTGGAGTCAGGGCACCGAGGGCTCCATGCCTGTAGAGTGTGGGGTCAGATTTACTAGAGATCTGTACAGAACTTCAGCTTTCCTTGGGAGATTAGCAGGCATGATGTGTTGGGTCTTTACCACAGCCACCACTTTATAGCTGGGGAAACTGAGGCATAAGCTAGATGTGTGATTTGGCCACCATCATTCACGTTAGTGGCAGTTAATTATTTTGTAAATAGTCATCTGGAAAACATGCTTTGTCTTAGCTAAAACATGAACCAGCTATCCAATCTTTGAAGGAAGAGCTCATGCCCCACATTAGTTTGTCTCTCAGAGTAAATATGCTTGCTCACGTGACTGGTGGGAACGGTAAGAGCCACATATGCTTCTCTTCTTACCATGGCTGCCGGGAATCTCAAGAATGAAATTTAACACTGTGTATGGTGGTGCACGCCTGTTAATTATTTGTTAATTAAACTTGGGAGGCAGAGGCAATTTCCAGATCTGCCAGGGATACGTACATAGCACCATCATGTCTAAGAACAGAAACAGACAAACAAAAAGTGTGAGTGTGGGAGGGGTGAATAATTTAAATAACTTGAATTGTGTAATTATGGGGATTACAGTGCGTTGACTGGGGAAAGTTTCTTTTCTTTTCCAAATGCTGGGGGTGCCCCACTACTGAGATACTGAGATGTCCCTAGTCCTCACCCTTCGATTTTCTACTTCTGTTTCCCAATACCAGGGAAAGAACCCAGGGCCTCATACATGGGAGGCAAGCATCTACCACTGAGCTACCTACCCAGCACTTCCTAAAATCATTATTTTGAGGCAAGGGCTCAGAAAACTGCCCAGGCTGACCATGAACTCACTCTATAGCCCAAGCAGGCTTTGAACTTGATCCTCCTTCTTCAGTCTCTGAGTAGCTGTAGTTAAAGTGTTATACCATCAGCCTCAACTTTCTGGCTTTGTTATTTTATGGAACACGTGACTAAGGTGGAACACTGTTTTTGGTGCCCTTTGGAAATCCTTGGGATAATTCATCCAAAGCAGAGTTTGGTTGAGACACTCCCCACCCCCAAGTCTCCCAGTTCAGTGCTCGGGGTTCTTGTCTTGCCTCCTGGGTTTGGCAAATTTGGGATACCCTGAATCTAGCCAGTGTCCCAGTGAGTTTGTAGAGAAAACAAGAGTCTAATTGTAAAGTTGATGACTTCCTGGTTCTAGGCTCAGGCATGAGAACTGTATCTGTTTTCTTATTTGCAGAACAAGAGCACTAAGCCCTGTGGTGTCAAAACTGTCTCTTAAGGAGGGGGATTGGGGATGTGACCTCTAAACAGTAAAGTACGCTAGGGGGGCTGGTTCAGGGATGGTTGTAACTACAATGAAGTTGTTACTACAAGGGAGAGCTAGTGGACAGTTAATGGAACTGGATCTGTTCTGGGTGGGTGGGGAAGAGGAAGACTCAGTGGGGGGGGGGTCTCTGGGCAAGAGACAAAGCTGAGTGATTGACATATCCATCATGAACGGTACAAAGTGGTATGGTGGCGTCCAGAAGGTCAAGTCTTTTGAGAACTTAGTTTTGTCACCTGGAGGATAGGTGTAGATGACTATCCCTGGAGAGACCAAGAGATAGGGACCAATTTGAGCTCCTAGAGGACAAGCCTTGGTTGGATGAGGACTGGGAGGAAAGCTAAGACAAAGGAAAATGGGTTCTGATGCCTTGTTTAGTCAGGGGGCCCCAAGAGCTGTGAATTTCATTTCAAAACCCATTACCATTGCCTCCAAGATGGTCTAACTTAATTTAGCCCTGGGAAAAGATGAGACATAATTTAGTTTCAGTCATGAAACTCAACCTCATGCCCCCAGCCAATTTGTGTCAACCCTGTGAGCCCAAGCCAGGCAATAGAGGACTGGGACACCAAGGTTCCTTGGGGCATTAGTTGGGGTCGGGGGAAGGAGGTAGAGGGCTGAAGGGAAAGGAGAAGAAAGGCAGAGGTGAACAGAAAGAGGATGGATTGGGAGGAAGGGTGTTGCTCCTTCTCAGGACCCCAGGCCTCCAGGGGAGTGTCCCAAGTAGGCCAGGCAGTTTTCTGCTTTGGGAATGTTACCAAGACATAAAAGGCATTTGAAGAAACAAACTTAGAAATTACATTTCAAAAAGAGTAGAGAGATTTACAAACTAACCCATCCACCCCCCCAAAAAAGGAAATAGAACCAGTTACCAAGTAAAATGCTAAAGGTCAAACCAAACCAATATTTACATGTAACATTTTCAACCCTATCAAGCCCTGTGTCCAGAGGCTTCTATAGGAACAGTGACAAGTGGCCTTGCACAGTGGCAAGCAAGAATTAGAAACAGAGACTGAAAACCAAGACTTAGAGCTTACAACACCTCCTGGGGCCACAGGGGCCAGGTGCTGAGACATTGGTAATGCACAACAACCCAGATGGGACAGGATGGTAAGGCTGAGTGGCCCCTAAGCCCTGGGGTTCAGGTCTATGGGGAATTTTCTTCAAGCCTCCCTGGCTCTCAGCAGCTCTGGGAGGTGGCAGAAGGCCTCTGGTGGCTTGTGGCCTGGTGTGGTCCCCTCAGCTGGAGATAACCTTAGAGGGGTCTCTGACCTCTTGGAGAAGGGCAGTAGCATCCTGGAAGGACCAGGCCCACGGTCCACTGGCTGCTGGCTCTGCCCATACTGTAAGTCATTGGGACATGAGGCAACAGCAGGTGGGATGAACTGACCCTGATATACTGCCCGTAGGGAATGGGGTTGAGGGGCTTTGGGTAACTGTTCCAGGTGTCCCTAAAAAGGTAGCCTGGAAACTGGTAGGTGGGAGTGCAGAGGAACCTCCCTAGTCCCGGAGGAAACTAGCCTTGCAGTTGGCTCTCTGCCTTTCTGATGGGGAACTCTGCACAAAGGCCAATCCATCCTAGGATGAGTCCAGATCCCCAGGCAGGAACAGAAGGGCACACCATCACCTGCACACCTGAAATTGGTTCATTGGCACCAAGGGGAAGCATGTGAGCTCCCTGTACTGCAGTTTGAGTTACACTGGTGTGGCTCAGGCGACTCTTAGGGATAGGGAGGACAGGCAGTAGAGCTGGAGCTAGAAGACGAGCCATGAGTATCTGTAAGGCTAAGAGAAGGGCTGGTGAACAGGCTGGCAGGCTGGTAGACACTCTCAGATCCATGTGCAAAGCTGCAATAGACGACATTCCACAAATCCATCCTGTTTTCTCGCGAGTTCGTACATGGGGAACATGGAGGGGTGGCTGTGCTCAGGACACAGACACAGTAGTCTTCTGTTTGACTTTGTGAGAAAAGGTGCTGGAGGGAAGGGAGGGGTAAGAAGGACCATGGAGGCTGTCTGGGGAGTGGAGACATCATTCTGGCCTACACTTTGTCTGAAACACTTACAGTCTGGTGTATAGAGGCCAGGCCAAGTACCTGGTGATGAGTAAATTGTAGTGATCTGAGACCAAATGGCCAGTGGTTGGGGGAACAAGGTACAGAGCCCCAGCTCTGCCAAGGGGCCCTTCTGACAAAACCAGGTGGTCTGAGCCTGGTGCAGAGCTGCCTCAGCCACATGGGGGACTCCATGGTATCACAAGCCCCACGTTGTCCCAGTGGCAAGAATACCTCTAATAAATTACCTTGGGGGGATTTAAATTATTAAAATAAAGTAAATCACCTTAAATATTTATAGTATGAAAAATTCAAATAAACAATCTAGGCAAGAAATGTTGGTAGGCCCTTGTCTTGAGCTGTGTCCTGGGACCCTAGCCTCTTGGAGCTCTCTCTGCCTTGACCTGACCAACAGAGTCTCTCCCAGGGAGCATTTCTGCTCCCTACTTGCTGCAGGATTGTGGCAGCCATCCCTGCTAGCAAGAGAGAGGCCCTAGGGATCAAGGCATGGCATGTAGGCTTTTACCTCAGCATCAGGTGTTAAGATGGGCCCTATCCATTTCTGTTCTCGTGGAGTCTCCTAAGAAAGCTGGACCTTCAAGTCACCTTGACAAGGCAGTCAGCTCTTCCGGCCTCCAACTCTGAACCTTATACCTCACACACTCTTACCTGCCACCCAGTTCTCGCTACATGTGAGTACAGGCAGGGGGATCCAGCGCTCCAGGATTCCAAGTGTACTTGGCCCTGGCTTCTGCTCTATCATATCCCCCTTCCCTGCTCCAAGAAGGCAGAGAAACCCATCAGCAGGGCTGGGAGGAGGAGGAGGCAAGGGTGATGGGACCCTGCCCAGCCCAGCTCGCTCAAGAGCGTCAAGCTGGACCCTAAGCAAACCCCAACTTCTCAGTGGCTTCTCCGCATGTGGTCCATAGGGTGCATCCCTGTGACCCAATCCCTGGAGCCTGGCCAGAAAGGCCTCCTTTTCTGGATCCTTCTAAGAAGTGGTGTGGGTGGTGCCAGGCCCCCTTGAGGACCCAGAAATGACTTGCGGAGCTCTTCGGGTGCTTTTGAGGCCCAGTCCTGGTCTTTCTCCTGCTCACTGCCTTCCCCTGGAAATCAGAGGTCACCTCCCAGCAGTCAGTGGGACACCCTGCTTTACCTTGAAAAGCTCTTCTCTGGCAGTGGTACAGCTGCTGTTCCTCCTGGGCAGAGCGAGGCTGAAGATATGACCCCTTGCCTCATCTCCAGGGTCTGGGCTGCTTAAGGTGGGAGCTTGGCTGCTCTGTGACTCACTGCGGGGCTGCCCTCTCCTCCCCGCCCCAGCCTGACTCTGAAGGGTGCAGCCTGCATTTGGAAGGAGAGTGTCGGATGGTGTTGCGGGATGGTCGGACGAAGCAGGAGGCCAGCGACTGGGCACTACAGTCACAAACAGCATCCTGGGAAGAGACAAGGAAGAGGTCAGGAGCAGCCCTAGTAACTGACTACAGCCACCCAGGAGCTGGGACTCAGCCATGTCTCACACTGCTTCTTAGGGGCTGCAACCCTGCTCTAAACCAATTTTCATCATGTTACTCCAATAGGGCAGCAATGGATCCTCATTCTAATAAAGTCTGGAAGGCACAGAGAAGAAGGCAGACATTATCCATGGTTAAGATTCTCAACATTCTACACATTCAGACACTGACCAGCATAGACATCCCCAAAGCATATTATTATTATTATTATTATTATTATTATTATTATTATTATTAGCACTTGCAAAATACAAACACTTCTCTGCCACTATGAATGTCTAGGTTTCTGTTAGTTTGTTTTTGTTGTAATTTATACTGTCTTTGGGCATTTTGCTTGTATGTGTGTCTATGCACCACGTGTATGTAGTGCCCAGAGTCCAGAAGAAGGTGTCAGATATCCTGGAACTAGAGCTATACACAGCTCTTAGCCACTATGTGGGTGCTGAGAATCAAACCCACGTTCCCTGGAAGAGCAGCCAGTGCTCTTATGAGCTGAGCATCTTTCCAGCCCCTGGGTCTCAGTTTTAATGGCTCTATAGGATCCTACTAAATGGAAAGAAATATCTTCTAATTCACCCACCCCCACTCCTCCCCCCCCCCCCCCAGCACTAGACATGGAACCTAGGGCCTTGAGCTCTACCACTAGGCTACATCCTCAGCTCCAATTTGCTTTTCTGTTATCTTCTTTGTGACAGGCATACTAGGTAGCTCCATCTGGCCTTGAATTCACTATGCAGCCCAGGCTGGCCTCAACTTGGGGTGTTTTTGTCTTAGATACTCAAGTACTGGGGTTATGGGTTTATGCTATCCCATCTGGTAAATGCTTTCCTCCTCCCCTGGGAGCACTGGGCATTTCCCAGTACACTTCTGCTGTATATTTAGGTAGATCCGTTCTTTTTGTTTCTTTTTGTGTTTTTGAGACAAGGTTTCTCTGTGTAGCTGTAGACAGAGCTGGCCTCAAAATCAAAGATCCACCTGCCTCTGCCTCCTGAGTGCTGGGATCAAAGGTGTGCACCACCATGCCCGGCTCATTCATTCTCATAAGTATTACCAGAACACAGAAATGGTCGGAAACACTGCTGATAAACCTGATTTTCTGTCCAGTCATGACTCTGCACTTACTAGGCAAGTGACACTTCTATGAGTCTTTATCTCCTCTCTCTACAACTCTACATGAAAGGATGTTGTATTTCTCAGTACCATGAGGGTCAGATCAAACACAACATGCAAACACTGTGGCACAGGTCCTACTAAGCACTTCTCCTGTCTCAACAACACGTCCCCTTTTCCTTTCTTTCTCTTGTGAAGTGTTGGGAATTGAACTCAGGGCTTCCTATGTGCTAGGGAAATGGTTTTACCATCAAGCTACACTCCAGTCCTCTATGGTTGTGACTTTCCTCCTTTTTTTTTTTTTTAAGGATGCATTTATTTATACATGTCTGAATGTTCTGCCTCCTGTATATAAATGCACCACGTGTGTACAGTGAAGGCAGAAGAGAGCGGAAGAACCCCTGGAACTGGAGTTACGGGCAGTTGTGAGCCATCAGGTGAGTGCTGGGAACTGAACCCAGTTCCTCTGCAGGAGCAGTAAATGCTCTTAATTGCTGGGCCAGCTCCCCAGCCTCATGCTATTGTTTCTTACTGTGCTGGTTTTATGGACATGATGGCAGCTGTTGCTATTGTTTTGTCTTTTGAGACAACGTCTACTATATAGCCTGGGCTGGGCTGGAATGTGCCATGTAGACCAGGCTGGCCTCCAGCTAATAAGAGACCCTTCTGCCTCTGCCTCCAAAATGATGGGATTAAAAGTTTGTGCCACCACGTCTGGTTTGTGACAGTTCATTCTTTATCAATGTGACTAAGCCACAGGGCCCTTAGACAACAAGTCTGACGTTATTCTGGGCATTTATATAAGGCTAACACAAAAGGCTGCCTCTCCCCAAATTAAGCAAATTCTGCATGGCTGACAACCTTTAGACTGGGACATTGGATTATTTCCCTCTGCTTCTATTTTTTTATTAATTTTAAAAATATTTATTATTGTGGGTTATATGTATAAGCATCCACACAGTGGAGGTCAGGGGGCAACTTTCATGAGTCAGCTTTCTCACTCCACCTTTTGAGCTCCAGGGAGTGAACCTAGATCATCGTGTTTAGTGGCAAGTACTTTTTGCTGCTTCTCTTGCGTTTGGACTTAAACTGAAATAAGGGCACTTCCTGGCCATGAGGCTGCCCATCTTCAGACCTGATTAAAGTCATTAACTTTCCTGGTTCTCAGGCCTTGGGACTCAGACCTGAACTAAACCATTGGCCAGACCCTATGCCAGACTCTTAAAACTGAGACTCTCTCATTCATTCTTGTATTTATCCTCACTCTCTCCCCCCTCCCCTTCCTTCCCTCCCTCTTGCCTCTCTTGAATATACTAGAACTTGATGGGAGATGTCCTTCTGTATACTGTGAAAATGTTTCTCTTATTCAATTTAATAAATGAAGCTATTTCTAGGCCAGGCGTTGGTGACATACACCTTTAATCCTAGCACTTGGGAGGCAGAGGCAGGTGAGTCTCTGTGAGTTAAAGTCCAGCCTGATCTATAGAGTGAGTTCCAGGACAGGCTCCAAAGCAATACAGAGAAACCCTATCTCAAAAAAAAAAAAAAAAAAAAAAAAAAAGTTTCAGCCAATGGCATCATGTAGCCAGGCAGAAAGTTAAGGTGGGGCTACCAAACTGGGAGAATTCTGGAAGGAACGTGAAGAGTGGTTCTCAAGAGAGATGCCATGTAGTCCTACCAACCAAGAAGGTAGGACGCCTGGGCTTTCTCTAGTAAGCCAAGACCACATGGAGATACACAGATTAACAGAAATGGGTTAATAATTAAAAGGTCAGTGAGAAGCCTGAGTCATCAGCCAAATGGTTTATAATTAATATAAACCTCTGTGTTTATTTGGATCTAAATGGATGCAGGACCAGGTGAAACAGAAACCTCCATCCACAAGGACTAAACACAGGGCTTCACACATTATAGGCTTTGTGAAGTCTTGTTAGGGTGGGGAAGTGGCAATTGGTGAATGTGTTTTATAACCAGTCTTCTAAGAGTGAGGGTGGGTAAAGCCTTGATTTGTAACTTTTCAAAGCTTCCCCCACCCCCCGGCATTTGTCCTCTTATTACAGCAATCTTAAGCTACAAAGGCACACACAGAATGCTAACAAATGACTCTGAGAAGCTCAACAAGTCACTCTGTCAGCACATCCCTCCTCCGGAGGGACCAGAGGGATGCTGCAGATCAGTGCAGTATGGTGGAAAGGCAAATGGCGGAGCCATGCTCACTAATCTCTTGGCATTAGGTCTGTGTCATTTCAAGTCATGTTCATGTTCATACCGGATCAGTGTAAGAACATTTTAAGATGCACAGGTAATATCTTCCCTGCATTTAAGAGCCAGAAGAGGGTCTGGGAACATACCTCAGTTGGTAGAGTGCTTGCCTGGCACGCACAGAGCCCTGGATATCATCTCCAGACCATATAAACCGAATGTCATGCACATACCCGTAATCCCAGCACACTGGAGGCAGAGGCAAGGGGATCAGGAATTCAAGGTGATCCTCAGTCACACAGAAAGTTCAAGGTCAGCCGGGGATACAAGAGACTCTGACTTTAAAGACTAAAAAAGCATAACACAACATAAAACAGAAGATTTTGAACTTTCTAGGCTATCCCCCATCCTGACAGAAGGGCAAAGTCCATCCTTACCTCACTGGAAAGGATCAAGGTTCCATCTCCATCCCGAAGGGCACCATCTTTCCCGACCTGGGAGAGCATGGTGGGTCTGACCTCTTCACTACCAACTGCCTTGGCTGCCTTCTTATTCAGGATCCTGGCTACACCCTCAGCTTGATGGTAGCTGGCAGGGGAGAGGGGCTCTGGTTTCTTGGAACTCTCCTCTCCTGCTGTGGTAATGGGGCTCGGTGCCCGGCCACACACATTCCGGAAGAACTCCTGTACAATGCCATACTTGGGAGGCTCCGGCTTGGTTCGGGCCTCAGACATGCCCAGTTTCCAGACAGACTCAGTGCTCCCTGAGTGCTCCACCACGCTGAACAGGCTGGACAGCCCATCGTTGATATTCCTCAGCACTGGGCTATCCCGTGTGGTGGTGGAGCGGGCCCAGGCTGAGCCATTCTGCTTGCCTTGGTGCAGATTCCACAGGCTGCGGTCCTTGGTGCTGTCCAGCTTGGACACTGATCGCCTCTGGAGCTTGGGTGAGCCATACTTAGGCGAGCAGCATGGCCGCTCAATGCGCGAATGGACCTTGTCCAGGGAGGAGGAGATCTGCTTGCTGCGTACTGACATAAGCGAGGAGCTGCGGGGTGACCAGCTCTTGCTATGGAGGCTGCTGCGGGGTGGGTCAGTCTGCAGGCCCACACTGACTGTCCGGATGGTCTGCGTGCCCACACTGGCCAGTCCTACTGTCTGGCTGGATGTGCTCTTTACCTTCCTCTCTAGCGAGCCAGAGCGCATGGCCTGCCGCACGCAGTTGGTGATCTCCTTCATGTCATCACTCATGTTGCCTGACATTTCAAAGTCATGCAAGGCTGCAGGGAAAGCAGGCCCAGAACTCGAGGTGTTGCCCCCGGATCCTCCATCAAGGCGCTGCCGGGAGAAGTTGCAAAGCCACCGGCTATAGGAACTCTCAGCTAGCCCATCTGCCTCGGCGGACTCCTTGGGCTTGGCTGTGGTGAAGAGGAACCCTGGTTCAATGAGGATCTTGCCCTCCTTGTCATGGACAACAGGGACACCCAGGCGCCGGGCCACTGGGGGACTATAGTAGACTCGTATGCCAGTCTTGTCTGGAGCAGTGTAGCTGCGCTGCATCTGCCTCCCTGCAGGCTCCTGGCAGGCCAGGGTACCCATGCGGTTGGAGTCCCGAGTGGACAGCCCAGTCTTTTCCTTGGCATCTTTCTCAGGCTCCGTTGGCTCAGTACTCACAAAGGCAAAAGCAGGGCTGTTGGGCAGCTTCTTGTTCCGGCCATCTCCACCAGCGAGGTAGGGGGAACAGTCGAGCAAACTTTCAAACTCAGACATGGAGGAAACAGATTTGGTCCTGGGAAAAGTAGAGGAAGAAAATGGGATTAATGGAAAATAACATATCAAGCATGCTAGTGTACTTAATGGGATATGCAAGTGGAGACCAGACCTGTCTTGCCTATCTCTTGTAGACAACTTTGCTGGTACCTCTCCAAACCCTCTCTCCACACTACCTATATACTCAGGTGGCATGAACACTAGCACCACACTTAACCTCTCACCAGGAACAGCCCTCCTGAAGGCAGCTCTCAGCTCACAATGGGTGGGATCTGGAGTCAGTACCTGGCTTCCTCACACCTTAGCTGGGATAGCTCTGATTGGTTTGGTTTCTCAGCAAACTCCAGCTGCCCACTAACTAACCTGGCAGCACCTCAGATGCCCCATCAATCATTTGAAATTCCCTTGACCCCGGGCCTTCATTTCCTGTCTTACATCCAGGTAAGGTTTGCTTCTAGGGAGTCCTCTACAGCACATGACTGTTCACTAGGCAGCTCTGGCTATCTCCAATTATCCTACTACAGAGAGGGAGGTACCCAAGGCCCCAGTGCTAGGAATGGCAGAGATGGAATTGAAGCCTGCCCCCACATACACACTCTAGAATGTTCTGTGTTGCCTGTCACATCCTTCATGGAGGGTCTTAATGGTGGAGATACTATCCTTGGGTGTCCCTTTGGCCACAGCATGGGGCTGGGCCCAATGGACACTGCCCAACAACCCCAGAAATGGATATCTACCATGATTCAAACTCCAGGGAGGAAAAGATAACCCTTAAAGGGGCCAAAGGGCTTCTTTGCCAGCAAGTGCAGCTGAGGCCCCAGTTTTCCATACCCAGGGTCAATATTAAACTGCATGCTGTGATCCTCATGGCCCCGAGCTTTCCAGTGCCTGAGGGACCTGGGTTCCAGAGGAAAAAAAACCATTTGGTGGCTCTCCCAACTCTCATGGGGACAGGAGTGGATACACGGGGCAGGGAGTGAAGAGAGTCAAAGCCAAGGGGCTATGGGGGAGGTAGAGCTGGGGTGGGGGACTGGGGAGTAGGGGGCCAGCACCTCTTTAAGCCAGTTCCCCCAAGTTCAGCTTCAGAAACACCCTCCTTGTCGTGGATCTTCTCACTTCGTGTCTGTCAATGGAAGAGACAAGAGTCAGATCTGGTGGCCAGTGTGAAAGGAAGGTGACAGCAGACCAGTGTGGGAGCTGAGCCCAGGCCTTCACATGTGAGTTCTCTCTCTTCTGAGGAGTAAAATACACTCAGCCAGTGGGCCTTTTAGGTGTGACCTGGGCTTAGGCACCTGGAGTGCAAACAGGGATTGCTTGAGACTTAGAACTCATCCCATGACAGTTACTATGGTTGATGGTAATGAACGTGATGGTGAAATTTTTCCACACCGGGTTTTCAGGGCCCATGTCACTAGCTCTGTGAGTTCCCACAAATCCTCTGAGTCTCAGTTCCCCAGAACAGGCATTTGCCTTCGGCAGCCCCATTTCCTGAGTAGTACACTGTCGTGAGGACGGAATGGCGATGTGAAGGGCCTATACATAACCTTTGTTAGTTCTGTGTTCTATGGGCAATGCACCTGGACCTATGTGCAAACTCCTCCGTGTGACCCTACTGACCCCATTCAGGACTAGGCCAGGGCACTTAGTCCCAGACAGCTGGGACTAAGAGATGGAGCGGCTCACCTAAGACCACACAGCTATTTCGAAGGCCTGCTTTCTGTTGATGTATAAATGAAGTGGGGTTTCCCCAAGACATGGGCAGGCAGCCCAGCAGAGGACCCTTCCCAAGCCCTAATCCATGGGCAGGAGTCATGGGGCAGTGACCCTGGGCTAAGAAGCCCAGGGTGTGAGGAAGGTACGGCCTTTGGGACAGGGTTAGCATTCTTTTGCTAACATTTCCCACAAGTAAGAAATTTTCTAGAATAGTCAGGAGCCAATAGAACATGGGTAGCAGGGATGCCCTCACCTCTTTCCAGCTGTTGTCCTGCTTCTCCAGGTCTGAGTGCTTCAGGACCCAGGGTTCGGCAGCCTTCTGCAGCTGAGAAAGACAAAAAGTGTGGGCTGGTGGGCGGGGCTACTCCACGCAGGGCCACTCTCAACTCTATAGCCAGTATGACCCACATCATGGGTCCAGCATTGGCTTCTCACTGGGTAGCAGATCTGAGCCCCCACAGGTGGGTTTGGAATAGCGTAGTAATACAAGCAGTTACTGGGAGGCATCTTCCTGACACAGAGTTAGTAGCTGTTTCTGCTACGTTAATCTATAGTAGAGCTCATAGAACAGCTAGGCAGACAAGCAATAGCTATTTCACACCGGGGACCATGCTGCCATCAATGGTGGCCATCTGTCACAGTCCAGCACTCCTTCCTGCTGAGTCCTGAGGAGACCCCTGGAGCACCATCATTTCCAGGGAGTCCATTTGCATGTGCGCATCAGTTCATCTTACCACCATAGCAACCTCAGGAGTAGGCGTGGCTGTAATTATTTCCATGTAGCAGGTGAGAGGATAAAGATAACAAAAGGAAAGACCTGGCCCAGATGTGGGCAGATGCACCAGCAGCTGGGACTACACGAGCTGCACCATCACTTTGCTTGAATTCAGCCATAGCTTTACAACTGACTTCAAGGGTAACTCACCCTTGCTCCCCCAGTGTTAGTAAAGCTTATGTCCCCCAAATCTTGCAGTTCTGAAAAATCAAGAAGGTTCTGCCTAGGACTGTACCAAGGGTAAAGTGGAGTCTTGAGCAAGGGCAGGATGGACTGGTCAGCTGTTTGCACTTGAGCCCATCTCTCAAACTTTGTTTCTTAGGAACCCAATTAAGACAAATAAAATGGTGTGTGGGCAACCAAAGTCACTTCACCACTAATGAACAGAAATCACAGATGAAGATGGTAAGCCAAGGCCCAGGCAGGGGGACCGAGGAGCAATGTGCCATTCTTGTAGCTAGCTCTTTTATCCCCATGACTACCCTGAGAGATGAGAAGGTCGAACAGCCATCCTTCTTGTGTAGACAAAGCCCAGAGATCACAGGTGACTTGACTAGGCCTGGGCCTCCTGATCAAGCCAGGCCAACTGTCACTCTCTCTTCCTGCTGCCTTTGGATCAGGATATAGAACTCTCGGCTCCTTCTCCAGCACCATGTCTGCCTGTGAGCTACCATGCTTCCCACCATGAAGCTAATGGACTGAACCTGTAAGCCAGCCACAATTGAATGTTTTCCTTTATAAGAGTTGCAGTGGTTATGGTTTCTCTTCACAACATAGACACTGACTAAGACCCTTCCTGCTGCTCTGTAAGCTGTTTTGACTAGGTTGCTTTCATTGAGAGTGCAGCTTATATGGATGTGGGGGCTGACACCCGGGATCCTAGCTCTGCGGAGCTCTGGAGAGGTTGAGGAAGGAGAGCTGGGCATTCCAGGCTCATCTGGGACAACTAAGTGAGATACAGAGAGACTCAGTCTCAAACAAATAAAACAAAAAAGGAAAGGAGGGAAGAGGAAGAAAATAAGAGAAAGAGTAAGCTTTGGGTGTCCTGGTTGGAATCAAGGGAAATAGGTGACCAGATCTAGGAAGCCAACAAATTCCACACATGGTCCCTGCTGGGAAACCAAGTACAAGACTCAGCCCCTATGAGCCAGAAGGTCCCAGCTGTGTATTTGCTGATATCCCATTAACCATGGCATGGCTTGAGCTGCATGATTTCCAAATCATTAAAAAATAATGTTAATGTAACAAAAAAGGAATCATTCCATTGACAGGAAGTTGCCAGAAGGTGCAAAAGTGTGCTCTGAGCAGCGCTCCATGTCACATCACAGGGGATATGCTTTAGTTTGAGGGTGTACCAGCCTGAACTTGCCACACACAGACACTCCCAGAGGTGCAATGTTTGTGTAGCTAGTGAGTGTGACCCTGGAGAAAACCTAGTCCCTTGCAAGAGGACAGCTCATGCCAGATGTTAGGAATGGAGAGATGGCTCAGCTGGTACAAGCATTTGCTGCTTTTTCCAGAGGACTCAGGCTCAGTTCCCAGCCCCCTCATGACAGTTCACAACCATCTGTAACTCCAGTTCCAAGAAACCCAACACCCTCTTCTGGCTTGAGGGTATCAGGCATGTACATGGTGCATACACACACATGCAAGCAAACCACTCATTCACAGTTAAAAAAAAATGTCAGATGTGAGGTTTCTGCTATGTGCCTGTCCTATCAGGAACAGGACATTCTGGGTGATTTTGCTCTATCTGCAAGGTGGCCTTCCAGGGTTGAGAGGGTTAGAGATTGCATTCTGAGAAGACATACAAAGAAGGTAACTCTTGGGGGCTAGAGAGATGGCTCAGTGGTTAAGAACACCGACTATTCTTCTAGAGGACCTGGGTTCAATTCCCAGCACCCATGTGGCAGCTCACAACTGTCTGTAATACTAGTGCCAGGGGACCCGACACCCATGGCAAAGCACCAATACACATAAAATAAAAGTCAACAGAAGAAGAAGAAGGGCTTTTTTTGGAGGTGGCTCCAAACTCCCTAGGCAGCCAGGACAATGACTGTGAGCCCCTATGACTCCGGCCTTCGCCTCACCTGACTGAGGCGGCTCTGCAGCTCCTTCACCTGCTGCTCCACCTGTTGCTTCTCGCCCTGCAGCCGCTCCACCAGCTGCAGCTTCTCCTGACTCCAGTGGCGCTCGCTGATCTGCAGCTGCCGTGTCAGCTCCATGACGGCGCTGTAGGACTCGGCCAGCAGGTGCTGCTGCTCCTCCCGCTCCCTCTGCAGGGCGGCCTTCCAGTCGGACCCGGGTCTCTCGCTGGCACCCTTCCCAGCCTTCAGCTCCGTCTGCAGGAAGGAGCATCGGCTGGGTAGCGGCAGGGGACACTGGCCTGGCACTCATACCAGGGAGACTCTGGGGGACCCTCCATGCTGACCCTCCTTCCAGTAGAGCTGTGGACCCCTTTCTGCATACAAGTCAGACCCTACTCCTCATGTTCTCTTTCTAAGCCTTGGACGCAAAGTGCCACATCCAGAGAGGCTCCGAGGGGTTAGTTAGGTAAGCATTCCACATCTGGCTATAACAGGCAGAACCCCCGGCTACTGATAACCATGCCATTTATCAACTCTCACTCTCTCTTCTCTCTCTCTCTCTCTCCCTCCCTCCCTCTCTCCTTGGTTTTTAAGACAGTGTTTCTCTGTGTAGCGCTGGCTGTCCTGGAATTCACTTTGTAGACCAGGCTGGCCTCAAACTTACAGAAATCTGCCTGCCTCCTCCTCCCGAGTGCTGGGATTAAAGGCGTGTGCTACTACCACTGGCCCTGCCTCCTTTTTATCTGTACTAATAACCCTGCCTCTGTCTCTCTGCTCTGGTCTACTACATTATAAACAGGCTAAGCTTCCGGAGCATTGCAGTTTCTGTGTATCCTTGTGTTCATCTGTCTTCTCTTTATTCTTTTTAGTCTCTTGACATCCTAGTCAGGCCCATCCAGGAGCCAGGCTAGATGTGGCATGCAGGCAGGTGTGGAAGCATCCTTTGACTTCACAGTGCAGCCTAGGTTCCTGTCAATCTCTCTGGGGCACAAGATGAAATGTAAGGGGTCTTGTGCACCTAAGAGCAGCTTAGGACCCTCCTCCCAGATCAGATGGTCTAGATGTGGGCTGGGAACAAGGAAGGAGATATCCCTGAGAAGCAAGGAGGCTTACCTGTGAGGCATGGCCCTTGAGCTCTGCCCGCTCTGTCTCCCACATGGCCTTGGCCTTTGCAAACTGCTGCTGAAGCTCAGTCAGACCCCTACGCTCGTCCCGGAGCAGCCAGCACAGCTCCTTTAGTGTGACCTTCATGTCCGCCAGGGTCTTGATGTACTCATTGGGCTGCAGACAGAGTAAAGCCTGGTCAAGAGCTTTGTGAAGCCAGGGAGGGCCCTAAGAACCTCAGAGAGGGTAAAGGCCAGTCCTGGGATAGCTGAGCTGAGCAGCAGTCTCATACGCAATGAATTGTTACAGAAGCAGATGTTCTGCCCAGATGCAGAGAAACAACCTACCCCAGGCCTTACAGGCCCCAGGCTGCAGGTCTCTTTCCTTTCTGAACTGAGGCAGCCATGGAGCCCCTCAAATGACACCCCCCAACGCCCTTTCCTGGTTCCTTACACACTGCTCACCCACACCCCAGCTCATGGTAGAAGCCTGGGAGGCTGACTCTATGGCTCTCTCTGACCTGTATCTTGATTTGACAGTTCTTAATTCTAGACCATAAGAGCCTCCCTTTGTGTGACCCTGGCCTGGCAGCCTTACCCTGTCCCAGTGTCCCAGTGGTCACAGCCACTCAGCACATCTTGCCACACCTCTATACACACAGTCCTCTTGGTTTAATGCGGTCTGCTTTCCTTTCTGAATTTGACAAGCCCCCTTCATCCATGGAAACACACTACATGTGACCCCTTCTCTGTAACTATTCCTTATACATCAGGTTAACTGCTCTCCTTCCTGTGACCTCACAGTTCATCTGGCTTTCTGTCACTACACTGGGATGACACATGTGCCCCTAGCCCTGAGCAACTGGTGGGCCGGTTCCCACCCAACAAGCATCTGCAGACCCTAAGTCCAATCAGGGCTGTGTGAGAAGACAGCAGGAAGTGAACATTAGCGGATAAGGAGCACGCGAATAAGGTAGGACCGGAAGGGGCTGAACACACCGTGTTCTGGGTCCAGCTGTCCCCCGTGCAGGCCTTGTTATCCGAGTGTTGGGCATTCATCTCTTCTTCCTCCATCAGCAGATACAGTTCCTTCATGCTGTTCACCTGGTTTGAGAAACCACATTCAACAGGCTCAGCCCTCAGACAGTGGCAAGCAGGCAGCCAGACAGAAAGGGCATTGCACAGCCACGCAGGAAGGATGAGCGGCTCAGGATGAACCAAAGCTCACCACTGACTTCCCACATCTTAAGTGTGCCCCATTCCCCCAGCCCGGCACTGTTAAGGCAGAGAAGCAGAACCCAAGCCCCCTGCCCCCTTCTGCCCACTCAGGGCTCGGGCTAAGCTCAGCCATACCTCCAGGAAGTCATCCTCCTCGTGGGGCAGAACCTTGCCCTGCCGCCAACGCTTCAGGAACCACCTGAGCTTCATGAAGAGCAGAAGGAAGTTGTGCTTGAATTGCTGGGACTCCTGAACCAGTATGTTCTTCTCCTGGCTCCAGAATTTCTGCTCCAGCCGCCTTTGGAGGCTCAGACTCTGCAGCTCGAACTCCCGCCTCAGCAGCGCTCTCTGCTGGTCTTCTTTTAGCTGTCAGGACAAGAGTGAGCAAGGGAGGCCTAGGCTGATTCCAGACCCAGATCTAAGGCAGAGGGGAACACTAATGGCAAGTGCCTACTGGTGACTGGCTTCTACCGATAGCAGCCCACTGTACCCAAGGAAGAACTCAAAAGCTGCCGCTGTGGGCTGGAGAGAGAGGGCTGTCAGTAAAGTATCTGCCACACAAGCATAAGGCCCTCAGTTCACTCTCCAGAACCCACACACAAAAACTCGACCAGCCAGCCTACTGTCACCAGTGAGCCCCAGGTGCCAGGAAGGGGTCCTGTCGTGAAACAGCTTGCAGAATGACCTCTGCCCACCATGGCACCATACTCTGAGCACCTACTGGGCATCAGATGTTTCCCATGTGCTCACATCAGTTTGGGAACTATGAAGGTAATTGGGGCCTGCAGAGAGGGCAAGACGCAGAGCAGAGGCATGATGGGATCAAGGAAAGCTGAGAAACCTTAGGGACAGCACTGGGTCACAGCTAAGGGAGTCAAAGGCCTGATATACAGCTCTAAGCAAAGCACAGCTACTCTGTGAGCTCCGTTTCCTCATCTGCAATCCTCCTACATTTTCAGCATGCCCTACCATGCACCACCACAGCAGCTCCTTTATCTGTGAAGTGGGGCATCCCATAGGGAAGAGTGTGAGCATTACAGGATATGATGGTGGAAGGTGTGTTACAGGAAACGATGGTGGAAGGTGTGTTACAGGAAACGATGGTGGAAGGTGTGTTACAGGATACGATGGTGGAAGGTGTGTTACAGGATGCGATGGTGGAAGGTGTGTTACAGGATACGATGGTGGAAGGTGTGTTACAGGAAACGATGGTGGAAGGTGTGTTACAGGATGCGATGGTGGAAAGTGTGTTACAGGATACAATGGTGGAAGGTGTGTTACAGGATGTGGAAGGTGTGTTACAGGATGCGATGGTGGAAGGTGTGTTACAGGATAAAATGGTACAAACTGTTACACTGGCCGTTCTGGAAGGTTGTTTTCTTTCTTTCTTTACATTTATTTATTATTTTCTATGTATGTGGGTGAGTGCAGCTACCATGGCAGGCGTGGTGGTCAGAGAACTAGGGCAGGTTCGTTCTCTCTCACTGTGGGGGTCCTGGAGACTGAATCAAGTTGTAAGGCTTGGTGGCAAATAATTTTACCGGCTTCACCAGCCCCAACAGTAAGGTTTAATAAATGCTATCATGATCCACAGCCAGGTTTGATAGGGGCACCACTTCCAAAACTGAGGCCAAGAGATGACTCAGCAGCTAAAAGCACTGGCTGTTCTTCCTCAGGACCTAGGTTCAATTCCCAGCACCACATCAGGCAGATCACAGGAAATAAGTCTGTCACTTCTGGTCTCCACAGACACCTGCACTGACATGCACATATCCACACACATCTATGTGCAATTAAAAATAAAAATCCTTGGAAACATTTTTAAAGAAATGAAACTGAGAGAGGTGTGGTGGCACATGCCCTTAATCCCAGCACTTGGGAGGCAGAGGCAGGCAGATTCTGCGAGTTCAAATCATCCCAGTCTACAGTGAGCAGACAGCCAGGACTACATAGAGAGAGACACTGTCTCAAACAGAACAGTAAACCCAAAAGACACCAAACAGGCCACTGTCACCTAGGCAGCCAATACCGTGTGCAGGGGTCCAGCCAGTCTAGAGCTGATAATCACAATCTCAGTGACACCCTGGCAGGGTGCTTCCCCCAATGCTATCCCCTTTGGATGACCCTGCTGTTAGTAGTGTTTGATTTCTTCCTATGCTAGGGACAGAATCCAGAGCCTCCTGCAGGCTGGGCAAGTGCCCTGCCACAGAGCTACACCACGGCCTCTGTATCTTCAGTCTCAGGAGGAGAAATGTAGCAGGTGGGGGAAAAAATGTGGCACAAACCCACCTGGACCACTTTCTGGTTGAAGCTGTCAGCCTCCTCCTTCCGGAGCTGCCGCTCCTGGGACAGCTGCTCTTGCAAGCCCCTGAGGCTGTCGTGGGCCTCTGCCAGAACCAGCTGAAGCTCCTTGATCTGCAGTGGGGTGGGGGCCAGACAAGGAGTGGGGAGAGGACACAGGCTGTGGTCAAAGAATCAACAGTAAGCTGGACTCGGGTGTCCTCTCCTAGGCACAACACTGTCATCGTGACAGTTAAATAAAGCAGTACGTGACAGATCCTTCACAGCATAATGTTTAACATTTCTCTCTAGCAAGTTCATTTGCAGAAAAAAGTATTCTGTGCAAACTAAATTTGATTCACAAAGTTGTTCATGGTCTCTTTAATTGATTGCTTTACTTATTTTTGACTTATTCTCACTATTTTTCACAGGCTGGTCTCAACACCTGAGCTCAAGGCATCCTCCTGCTTCAGCCTCCCAAGTAGCTGGGGCTATAGGTGCTTGCCATCATATACTAGTTCATTGTTTATAATTAAAAATTTAGAAGCTTTTTTGTCAAAATCAAGTGTCCATAGGTGTGTGGATTTATTTCTGGGCCTTCGATATCATTGATCCACCTGTCTGTTTTTATGCTAATTAATACCATGCCATTTTTATTGCTATAGCTCTGTAGTAGTGCTTGAAGTCAGGGATGGTGACGCCTCCAAAAGTTCTCTTATTGCACAGGACTGTTTTGGCTATCCTGGGTTCTTGTCTTTCCATATGAAGTTGAATATTGTTCTTGTAAGATCTGCAAAGAACTGTTTTGGAACTCTGATGGGGATAGCATTGAATCTGTAGATTTCTTTTGGTAAGATGACCATCTTACCATGTTAATCCTACTGATTCATGAGCATGGGAGATCTTCCCATACATGACTGGAGGAAAAAAAAATGTCAATATAATTGATGGGAGATGTCATTCTGATTGTAACAAACATAATGATGCCTAACGATATTCTGCTATTACTCATAGATTGGTGACTACCCCAACTGTCATCAGTGGAAACAAATACAGAGACCCACAGCCAAGCATTGGGTTGAGCTCAGGGAATCCCGCTGAACAGAGGAAGGATTGTATGAGGGGTGGTGTTAAGGATATCACAAGGGAACCCATAGAAACAACTAATCTGGGCTCATAGGAGCTCACAGTATCTGGACTGACAGTCAGGGAGCCTGCATAGGACTGACCCAGGCCTTTTACATACATGCAACAGTTGTGTAACTTGGCCTACTTATGGGACTCTTAGTAGTGGAAGCAGGGGCTGCCCCTGCTTTGGCAAGCTTTTGGAACCTATTCCTCATACTGGGTCGCCTTGCCCAGCCTTAATACAAGGGGAGGAGCTTAGTCCTACTGCAGCTTAATATGCCATGCTTTGTTGATGCCTATAGGAGCCCTGCCCCTTTCTGAACAGAAACAGAGAAGTGGATTGGGGGAATGGAGGGAAGATGGAGGGAGGGAATGAAAGGAGAGGAAGAGGGGAAACTGATCGGGATGTAAATAAATGAATAAATTAATACAAAACTTTTAGAAGCAATTTAAATAATAAATGAGGTTTAAAATGTGTTTAATGGGTCTATATGTATAACAATCCATTCAGCTGTAGACTTACAGATGCTGTCTTTGTGTTATAACAGAAACACATTAACAGTCACCATGGTTAAGTGGATAATGATCTTAGCTTTCTTTGTATCTTCATGTAATGCTGCTTAGGGGTCTAATTGTATTTACTATAGCCTACAATAACTATGGAATAAGATCATTTTTTTAAAAAAGTTAACCATGTTCTCCAATTTCTGGGGGAAATGGTGTTTTAAAAGCATTTAGAACTAAACAGGCAAAGTCAATGTGTTCTTGGCCTGGCAGGATAGCTCAGCAGATAAGGGCTCTTGCAGCCACGTCAGGACCCGAGTTTGATTCCGGGGACCCACATGGTGGAAGGAGAGAGCCATCTCCTACAAGTTGTCCTCTGACTTAGCCATGCACGCTGCAGTACAACGTGCACACACTCACATGAACTAAACAAATAAATGTAGAAAGTGTTTTAAAACCCATTCTTCTCTAAGTTCAGGTAGAGACCGGAAGGAACAACACACAAGGAACTTCCTAGAGTCTGTTTATGGATGCAAATGCTAATTACAAAACAGGAAGATCATGCGCTTAAGGCCAGTGTGGCTATACAGCAAGACCCTGTCAGAAAGCACCAGAAGGGAGCAAAGGGTTCTGTTTGTGAAAAAGCTGTAAGCACCTGTTCGCCTTCCCTTCTTCCTCTTCTTCCTCTTCTTCCCCTCTTTCCGTGTGTGTGTGTGTGTGTGTGTGTGTGTGTGTGAGAGAGAGAGAGAGAGAGAGAGAGTGTGTGTGTGTCTAAGTCTATGTGTGTCTGAGTCTGTGTATGAGTATGTGTGTGTGAGAGAGAGAGTGTGTGTCTAAGTCTGTGTGTCTGAGTCTGTGTATGAGTATGTGTGTGTGTGTGTGTGTGTATATATGTGTCTGAGTCTGTGTATGTGAGTGTGTGTATATGAGTTTGTGTGTGTGCGCGCACACACACACACACACACACACACACACACGTTGATGCTGGGGGTTGGACTCAAGGTCTCACACAAACTAAGCAAATGCTTCGTCACTGAGCTATAGCCCCACCCCACTGATACTCTGTGTTATCCTCCAAAAACAAAAGATTTAGTCAGATAAAATGAAGTGGTGCATGAGGCAGGAGGATCACCTGAGCCTGTGAGTTTGAGACCAGCCTCAGCAACACAGTGAGACTCCATCTCAAAGAAAAGCATTAAGCATTTCTGGTAGTGGGAATGTTTATTCTAACACTGTGTAGGAAAAGGAAAATGGAAATGGTCCCAGGCATGGCAGGTGTCCTGCTGCAAAAAAAAAAAAAAAAAAAAAAAAAAAAAAAAAGTGATAATGATAATTTGGCACTGTTTCTGCAATGATTTGAGGCATGTCTTATACACCTGTTCTGTATTAAAATCTCTGCAGAGCTGGGCAAAGTGTCATGTGTCTATAATCCCAGCACAGAAGGTGGAGGCAGAAGGGTAAGTTTGAAGTAAGTGTGGTCTACATACTGAGACCCTGACTCAAAAAACAAAAAAACTCCTTAGAAGAAGTCAGGCTGCTACCCTCGCACATTCTCCTTGAACTCAGGGTTGGTGGCGTGTTTCAGTCCTATCTGCTCAGTAGGAATGAATGGAACTGACTGAATGTGTAAACAAACTGACACAAACGAGCTTATATCCTCCTCAGAAAATGAGATCTCAGTATCTCAGGGCTCTGTCTTCCTCCTCCTCCCACCCTGCCCTTCTCTGTCTATTTATCTCCCCACTGGGGATCAAAGCCAAGGTCATCTGCAGGCCAAGAACACAGCCCAGACTCCGTTTTTCCTTTCCCCCTTCCTCTGTGACTTCTAGAACATCCAGATCACCTCAGTTTCCAGGGGACAGGGAACTTTTCAAAGATCAGAGAACCTTAGAAATTCTAAGGATCATAAATATGGGTAGGAAAGCTGGGGCCACAGGATGTGAATTTATCCAAGGTCAAACCACCAGAGTGACGTCTAACTCCGGTCCTCGGAGAAAAAGTGACATGTCATGGACACTGTCCTCATCCTTACCCATAGAGATCAAGCCTCAAGCTGTCAAGGATCCTATGAGGAGCTCTGTTCCTGGAGGTCACAAACCTGATAACTAAGGAAGGGAAGTGATGTATCCAAGATCTCACAGCCAGCACACAGGAGAGTCACAGCATGAACTCAAACAGCCTGAATGCAGAGATTACTGCTTCTCTGCTAGATAGTTATTATATGATGGAGTACAGCATTCCTGCCTCAGCATCCTGACACTGGGATTACAGGTACGCACCATGTCTAGCTAAGCTTCCTCTAACTAGACCATAGACCATGGGATTGAGTCAAATTCTCTCCTTCCTTCCTTCCTTCCTTCCTTCCTTCCTTCCTTCCTTCCTTCCTTCCTTCTTTCTTCCCCCCTCCCCTGGCTGTCAGGAAGCTTAAAACCAAACAGAATGCTCAAAGCCCATACCACCATCCCCCAAAGATCACCCTGGTTTTGAGAGGCCCCAGCCAATCTCCTTCAACCCAGTCTCAGATTTAGGCCTCCACCCACCTCAGAGGCATAGGAATCATTATCTTCAGCTCGATAAGGCCTGAAGTTCCGACTGGGGTCAGGCTTAGAGTCCAAGTCACCAGCCCGGAAGGCCTCTCGGATTCTAGGCTCCCATTCCAGCAGGTCTCTGAAGTCAGATGGCTAAAGCGAGGGGCACAAGCAGAAGAGAGCCATGGGGAGAAGCCTGAGGAATACAGCACAAGGTCCCCACCAGGCCTCGGCTCCATAAGAGGCTCTGTCCACATGAGAGTGAGGCCCAGGAGAATCAGCCTTGCAAAATGGCCCCAGCCTTACCAGGGTGCATTGCCACCACTCAAGGACTCCTTGTTGCAAAGATGAATGAGTAGGCCAGAGAAAACACTAATTTTGTGAATGGCTTTTATGCAAAGCCTTCTGAAACAGTCCCATTGCTCAACCACCTGTGTGATTCCCAGCTCTCTCTTCCTTCGGGATGGAACAAGGAGACTCAATATGGGGCTGTCCACTTGTTTAAGAAGCCGTCTCAAGCCATAGCAGCAAAGCATGAGTTGAAGCTGCTATAGTATAGCGCCACACATGGAAATCTGCTGCTCACAGGATGGAAACCAAACTGCTCCATGCTCTCTGCAGCCCAGCCTTACTACTCTGCACAGTTCCTTGAACCTAGCATGCTCCTTCTATATGATCTGAGCCTCTTTAAGATCTAGGACAAGTTCCTCATTGATAGTAACTACCTTTCTTTTGGGTCCCTCTTCTCTTTCTCATATCATAGTCACAGTCTTCTTATGTTGATTAATTCTTCCTCATTTGTCAATAAGGACCTTTGGAGTGGGAATTCTATTCCTATATGGTTCTACAGACCATCAACCATCCTGTGCTGAGCACAAAGGGTGGGAACTATCAACAAAATATCCCAGCAAACAGATAGGAAATACAGTGCATGAGGAAGACGCTGTGCATGAGCACAAAGGGTAGGGCCTAGCAACAAGGTATCCAGCAAATAGACATGGAATACAGTTCATGAGGAAGACATGCTATTCAGCAACAGTAGCTATAACATGAAGCAAAAGGACTGAAAAACAAGCACAGGAGAGGGCATATGCAAGTTTAGAAGGTGGGCTTCCAGGACCAACTAGATGCAAGCATCTGAAATGTTTAACTGCAACCAAGAAACTGCAGTTCAATCCTATGTCATCTTTGTCCATTTAATTTTAAAGATTTGTCTTGGGAGTTTTGTTTTGTTTCTATTCTGTCCTGGGAATGGAGCCTGTGCCGCCTGCTAAGACAGGTGCCTTACCACTGAGCCACATCCCCACATGGCTGATGTATGTGATGGCTGTATTGAACACCAACAATCAATACCATCTACAGAGGTTTTGGCAGAAAGTGGTAAACAGGGACACAAGATGTCCATTTATTTTTGTCTCTGCTTCAAATGTTTATGTATTGCTTTTGCAATAATACTTTGCAAATTTTTGGATATCTTTGCTGTTATAGTTTTTCTAAGTAGCATGTCATGGATATCAAGAATAAGCTTCTCAAAAAACTCATCAAAATATTTTTTTAAAGAAACTGCAAATATTTGCTTTAAACTTTAAAATTATGGGCTGCTAAGTTAACTTAGTGAGTAAAGGCACTTGCTACCAAGCCTGGCAAACTGAGTTGATCTCCAGGACCATCTGAGAACTGACTCCTGTGACTACTACATGTCCAAGTGCGGGGGAGGGAGAAGAGGGGAGGGAGGAGAGGAGAGGAAAAAAGGGGCAATCTAGCAAGAAGATAGGCCCTCAGAATCAATCTTCATCCACAGCAAGCAAATGCATGCTGGGCAGTTCACTGAGTTATACTTAGTAAGCTGAAATAAATACATTTTTACTACCTGTAACAGCAAAGTGAACAAAGCCAGGTACCACTGTGTTTCGTTTGTATAATTCCATTTATATAAAGCTCAAAGATGGATAGAACCAGGAGGCTGTCCTGGGGAGCAGGGATAGTGACTAACAGGGAGACTGAGCAGGACAGCCTTGGGGCTGGTCATGGTTTCATGACCACAAACTGTCAACTGCAGGAGAGTCGTAAAGTTGTTTGTACACATGGATTTTTGTCTTCCTCTGTTGTATGCCTCTTCCAGCACTAAGTTTGTATTTAACAAAAGTAACAGAACCCTGGCTGGGCATCTTACCTGGAAGTCAGAGCCAAGATCTTTGGCCAGCATGATTTCCTTGGAAGGTCCCTGGGAACCCAAGGCGGGCAGCGCAGGGAAGGGCTCAGACTGCTCCTTGGCAGAGCTCCCCAAGGCCACATCCACCTTGCGTGTGAAAGCGTTCAGTTCCTGCTGCAGCACACTCAGCCGCACCAAGATGGCATGGATGAGCTTAGCATCCCTGGGGCCCTCGCTGTTATCAGGAGCCTCGTGCAACCGCAAGTCTGCACACTCATTGTCCAGGCACAGCCGGAGGCCAACTGAGAAGCCATTGGCATCAGCCACCAGGACGTCGATGGCCTTGCTGACCAGGGCGGCCTGCTCCCGCAGTCCGGGCAGCGCCTCGGCCTCGCGCGCCCTACATAGCCGGGTGGTGTGGGGCTCCAGTGCCTCGCCCAGAGGGGCAGGCACACACTGTGCAGAGTCCCCAGCCTCAGCATCCGTCTCCAGCATGGGGCGTGTGCTCTGGCAGGAGGCCAAGTCGCAGCGCTGCAGGTTAGAGAGGAGCACGCGGTTCTCATACTGCAGCTTTTTGACCTTGCCGCTGAGCTCGCCGATCTGCAGTTTGGCAGCCGCCAGCTCCTCCTGTGAGGGCTCGCTGAGCACCGAGCAGCTGTCCTCCGACAGTGTCACGTCCAGCTCGTGTTCTGAGCGATATTTGGCCAGCTCATTCAGCAGCAACTTGTTCTGGTCCTCCAGCTCTGCCGAGGAGCGCCGCAGCAACTCAGCCTCCTCTTCCACAAACTGCAGGTGGCGCCGCAACTCGGCCAAGCTCTCCCCACACTCACCACCCAGAGCAGAGAAAGCCAGCCGGGCCTCGGGGCCTCCGCTGCCCCCGTGGTCCTTCATGTCGTCCATCTCAGCCCGGAGACCTCGGTTCTCCACCTCCAGCTCCACGATGCGCCGGCTCAGCAGATTGGCCTCCTCCTCCACCAGCTTCAGGTGCACCTTCAGCTCTGTCTCACGCGAGTGTGGAGCATCTGCCAGCTCCTCTGCAGACAGGGCTGCGTCCAAGTCTCCATACAGGGAGCGGTACTTGAGCAGCTCCTCCTTCATGCTGTCGTTCTCCTTGGCCAGTTTGGTGAGCTTCTTGCACATGAGGGCAGACTCCTCCTTTGCGAAATGCAGCTGGCATTTCAGGTCTGCGCTGTCCTCCTGCAGCCCAATGGGTACGGAGACAGACAACAGTAAGGAAGGTTATTGTCAGCTTGGATCCAGCCACAGCATTCTGGGGTGCACTGACTATGTCTTGAGAACACAGGGGTGAATCCTGGAGGCCACAGGAAGCAGAGCGGGGACACTGATATTGAGAGGCCAGGGCACACTATCTACACTCTAGGAGTCTTGGAGTCGGTGACAGTCTGACTGACTGGCTATTCCTGCTAGAATTGCCCCATCTGTAAAAGGGGACAGAAACATTCTGCTCTCACACGGTGACTGTTAAGTGGGAAAATGTACAGAGAGTGTCTGGCACCCTGGCTGTTAACAGGGTTCTGTGCCTGGCCTGTGCAAACCATGGTGCTTTTATCTAATTCTTACAACAAACCCACAGAATAGGAACAGATCAGAACAGGACCAGAAAGTGAAGTGATTTGTCTCAGTCAGGTGGCAACCAAGTCACAGAGCCCAGGTTCAAGGTTTCTGACTGAATCTTGAGTTTAGTTGTCTCTATGCTGTGTAAGCAACTTGTGGGTCCAGGAGTGTCTAAGCATGGGTTCAGTGTGGGCTTGGAGGAAGTAGTGGGTGGTGAAGTCTAGAAAACACACAGGGGAAGGAAATGCACAGGCGAGACATGGGGGGGGGGGACCTCTGGGGACTACCCAGGACAGTTAAAGTTGGTCTGGGCTTCCAAACTACATGCAGAGTGTGTGAGGGGTGCTGAGGAAGCACCTGTGCGGTGGGCTTCTTATCTGTCTTCCCCAGAGACCGGGTTCCTCTTTTCTTCAAGGAATGCTAAAGGGAGAGAAGAAACCAAATTGAAAGATCACAAAGATGATACACATCCAAAGGGTTGTCACAAAACAGTCACACTGAGGGCCCCAAGCCAGCCTGTATGTGTTAGCCAGCACCCAAGGCTGAGCCAGAGAGCACTGAGTGAGGGAGACAGACTGGAGGAAATAACTAAGTACCCCTGGCCAGGCCTCCCTCCTTGCTGCACCCGCTTGGGCCATTGTCATCCTGTTGGCTGCAAATGGAATTTGTGCTTTTGTTCATCTTTGTTCTTGCAGTTTGGGGCTTTTCTTTTCTTTTCTTCAGATTATAATATAATTGTATTATTTTCTCCCTTCCCTCCAACCCCTCTCACATACCTCCCCCTCATTCAAATTCATGGCCTCTTTCTTTTAAGTGTTGCTACATATGTGTGTGTTCTCAAATATATAAATACAACCGCTCACTCCAGATGTCACTTGTATGAATGTGTTTTCATGGCTGACACTTGTTTGTCTTTCATTAACTCATCAGAGATTTCCTGAGAACACCTCAGAGGGCAAATGACACGACACTGAATTAGACAAACAAGTACCAAAAGGATGCTGTGGTCCCTGCTTCAGGACCGAGATGCTCATGCCCCCAGGAAAGACCTCCAAGCTGAGGACTGTTCTTGGTTCTCAATTGGCCAGTTACTTGTTTCTTATCGGCTAGCTCTGTCTTAGGGAGCACCTGAAGTGCTCCCGCTTGGTGGAACCCACAGCTAAAGGCTAGCCCAGGCCCTATGCCTCGACCCCAAAGGGCCACTTGCACTAGTTGATGCCATCTGTGATTGGGTTTCTATTTCTGTCTCACTCCCTGTCACTGCCAAAGGGGCTCTTCCCTAAACACACTGCATGCAAATCTCCACTCACAGGAAGTGACATTTCATAGGACTTTGGACAGAAAATGAATACCAATGAACAAGATGTGGGTACAAAACTAGATACAGCATAGGAGATTAAAAAATGATTGTGAGAGACTAACAACAAGCAAAGGTTCAAAAGCCCAGAAACGTTGGAGGCAGGGGAACCAATACATTTGATTACACAGGCAAATACTACAGGGATTAAAAAAAAAAAAAAAAAAGAAGGAAAGTAAACCATCTTGGTCCTAGCACAGCTCAATGGTAAAAAACTGCCCCAATATGTTCCAAGCCCTGGGTTCCATCTTCAGAAACACACACACACACACACACACACACACACACACACACACACCAATAACGAACTGGTGAAAATGGGTTAGAAATACAAGACACAGCAGGGGAAGTCAGGCCCAGGGGGGCAGGCCTATAATTTCAGTTATTAAGGAGCTTGAGGCAGGAGAATCATAAATTCAAGGCCTGTCTGTGCAACAGATTAAGACCTTGTCTCATTTTAAAAAAAAGAAAAAAAGACACTGTTCAGTGGGAAAGAGCTTGCCCAGTGTGCGTGGGGCTCTAGGTTCCATCTCCAGTTCAGGGGGTGGGGGATAAGTTTACAGAAGAAAGGCAAATTGATCTTAACCCTGGAAAGATGCTTGGCCCCACTCAGGATGGAGACACCCAAAGGAAAGCTAGCTACCCCGAGATGCAGCTTCTCCATGATCAGATTGGCAAAAAGCCAAGCCATCTAACAATACATCCCATTGGTAAGGCTTGAGCTAAACAAGAAGGCTCGTTTATTGCTGGCAGGAGTGCAAAACGGCACAAGCCCCACGGTGGGGAATTTGAGGAAATGCTACAATAATCAGTGCTGAAGTTTCTTGTTGTTCAAAGAAGTCATTCAATTAGACGCACAATTCCGCTGAACACTTCCTCCCGAGAGAGGGATGATTCATGCCACCAGCTTTTGAAACCACACTTCGGTTGCTCTCAACTTTCTGAGTTGAGCTGCCCACTTGGATTTCTGAAAATGCTCCCCAGTGGCTTTTGATACCCCCCCAACCCTTACCTCTCACTCCCCATCACTGTAGGCAAGCCACTGACATAAAACAAGACTTGTTTGTTTAAAAGGTATTTATTTTTATTTTATGTGTATGGGTGTTCTGCCTGCATGTATGTTTGTGCATCACATGTATAGAGTGCCTGTGGAAGCCAGAAGAAGGCAGTGGATCTCCTGGGTCGGAAGTTACAGATGGCTGTGAGCTATCATGTGGTGCTAGGAATTGAACCTGGGTTCTTTGGAAGAGCAACCAGGGCTCTTAACCACTGAGCCATCTCTCCAACCCATCAAGCCCTGTTTTACAGGGGATAAGAAAGGGGCAGTGTAATTGGAAGTTTTTTGCTGTCCCTCCCTGTCTGATTGGACTGGCCCCAGCAGCCACTTATTAACTAATCATTCTTAGGCCAATGGCTCAGGCTTATTACTATCTAGCTCTTACTATTACATTATCTCATTTTTACTAATCTGTGTACACCATGTTGCAATGGCTTACCAGTAATGTGCAGGCATCTTACCCCTTTAGCAGCTAAATGGCTTCTTCCTAACTATGCCTCCTTTCTCTCTGTATCTCTGTTTGGATTTCCCACCTAGCTATATTCTCACCTACTACAGGCCAAAACAGCTTTATTCATCAACCAATAAAGTAACACATTCGCAGCATACAGAAGGACATCCACATCATTGCAAGAACTTGACCAGAGTTCTGTAGTAAATACAGAGCCAACCTGAGACCAATTCTTGACCTAGCTCTCCATTGCATTCCAAAGCCTTGGTGGGAGAAAATGTGTCTTTGATGATGGCCAGAGTGGAGCTAACAAAGTGGTTTTCAACCTGCATGCAGAGAAGAATTAATTGGGGAATTTAGGGAAAATACCAATGAAGGAATCACTCAGATTCTGGAATAACTGGTCTGGTGTAGGCCTCAGCCATTGAAGTTTAAAATCGCTTCCCATCAAAGCGGGTTGGCTCTGTCATGTGTGTGTGTCCACACAGGTGCATGCAAGTGTGTGTGCATGTGTGATGTGTGCGCACATGCGCACATGTGTGTTGTGTGTGGGGGGGTGTGGAGACTAGAGTACAGCCTCAGTGGGCACATGTGTATGCGTGCGTGCGTGCGTGCGTGCGTGCGTGCGTGTGTGTGTGTGTGTGTGTGTGTGTGTGTGTGTGTGTGTGTGTGTCTTTGCATGCTTGTGGAGATTAGAGGACAGCCTCGGGTATTCAGAAGCTCTCATCTTGCTTTTTTGAGATAGGGTTGCTCATTTGCCTGGAGCACACCAATTATGCTAGGCTGGCTACTAGGAAGCTGCAGGGTTCCTTCCTGGTGTTTTTACATCTTCTTAGCCCACACTAGGTCTACCTTAAAACTCCTTTAGGTCACAGAGAACTTTGGGAACACCAATAAGGCAGGAAGATGGAGATGGAGATGGAGTACAGATGCCACCAGCCTGCCAAGAGAGCCCCAGATCTTTCAAAAGAGGACTTACGCATGGGGGTCACAAAACACGCCCTTTCAGAGCTGGTGTACCACGACAGGGCCTGGAAGGGAGAGCTCAGAGGGAGACTGCCATGGAGTGATGAGGTGGTGCTCTGGGTCAGATTCTCAGCTAGAGATGGGCTGGCCGTCATAGGCTGAGTGGTGCCTTGGCTGTGGCCTCTGCTGTGAGTGGTTCTGGAGAACCCACACAGAGAAAACTCCTTTGCCTCCCTAGAAATCCATAAGCTAGGTGACCACAGCTCCACCAAGTTCCCTGATCACACAAAGGAAATGAAGAGACCCAATCTCTAAGGGTTCCCAGCTATCACATATGCACCCATGAGGTGTAAAAAGCCAGTAGGAATGACTGAGGGGTTGTGATAGTGGGCTGACAAATAATAGCCTAAACACTCTGTGAAGTAAACTACAGTAATACTCTGTGAAGTAAACTACAAATAAAGACTCCAACCCAATGTGGCCTCTAAATGAAGAATGAAGGAGCAAATGATGGGTGTGTCCACACAATAAAAACTTAGTCATGAAAGGAATGGGGTCCTGATGCTCAGGCCTGAACGGGCATCTTGAAGACACTGTGTGAAGTGAGCTAGGCCATCCTGACATGGCAGGCATTGTTTGGAACAGTTTCCTCTGAGATTAAAACATTCCATCCTGCAGGAAGGTAAATGACTCAAAAAGAAGTCCAGCAACAAAAGCTAGGAGAGGGTCCTGAGCTCAAAGAAGACTCTCAGAGGAGAAAAGCTGCAAAACTCTGAGACCAGACCAGTCGCCTGAAGAATCAGAAACCAGCCCAGCTGCCTGGAAGAGCTTTAGACCAGAGTCACCTAGGAAGGACACTCCAACCTGCTGAGCTGCCTGCAGGCTATGCAGTACACATTCCCCAGCCTTTGAGAGCTGTTGTCCATGCTGGGGTGGGTGGGACTTGGTGATGCAGCTGTCCGTGAGTCATTCCTGCTCCTGTAAGTAATCCTTCATCCATACTCCTGGAAGTAACCTCAATAAAACCTGTTGGTTCACAAAGCTGGACTTTTGTGGTATCTGTACTTTGGCTTGCCGTGGGATCTCTATCTTGGGTGTCTAGACCTGCATGTGCGTCTCCCCAGGAAGACAAAAAAGGCATGTGGCATCGGGTTCCACTTCCACAAAATGTCCAGGCCAGGCAAATTCTCAAAGATGGAAAATAAATTAATGGCATCCCAGAGCTGGGGGAGGAAGGAATGGGGAATGACTGCTAATAAATGTGAGGTTGACTTATTTTTTGAAGGGTGTAACGAATTGGAGAGTAGGGATGGATACACAATTGTGGAACCAACTAACTGTGCAGTGTAAAAGGGTAAACTTGGGTTAGGGATGTAACTTAAATGTAGAGCATTTGGCTGGCATGGGTTCAATTCATCATACTGCAAATAAAAAGGGGGAGGACAGATTCATAATATGCTAATTATACCTCAATAAAATGTTACAAAAAACAAAACAAAACTGAATACCTGGGCAAAGTGGCACACAACTATAAATTCAGCACTCTGTAGCAGAAGCAGGAAGAACGCCCCAAGTCCAAGACCAGCTCA